CCTCCCCTCCCCATCTACAAACACTTTATTTTCATCTTTTCATTCTCTCACATTTTTTTCTTTTCCCTTTTTGTTCTTCCCCTACGTATCACACCTTCCCTACACCTTTAGCTCCTTTCCTCCCATTTCTAAATGTCAGTAATCTTATTAGAATCTTATTGCATGTACTTCTTTTCAATACTTAAGATTGAACCCACAGGTTCTATGTTGAGCTACCTACCTTCCCAAGCCCCCGCTGATATTTTTTAGTGTCCCTTTCATTATGCTAATTTATTTTAGGAGCAGGCAGAATATCTTCCCTACACCTTTAGCTCCTTTCCTCCCATTTCTAAATGTCAGTAATCTTATTAGAATCTTATTGCATGTACTTCTTTTCAATACTTAAGATTGAACCCACAGGTTCTATGTTGAGCTACCTACCTTCCCAAGCCCCCGCTGATATTTTTTAGTGTCCCTTTCATTATGCTAATTTATTTTAGGAGCAGGCAGAATATCTTCTCTGTCTCTCAGTCAGAAGTACAGTAAATTACAGGTCATTATTTGTAATGCGAAAATATATTTCATTTTGTAGACCCAATAGAGAGAGAAAGAGGAAGAAGAAGGAAACCAAGAGTTCGAGCCCAAGTGAGGAATATGAGGGATTCTAGACTAGCAGGAACAAAGCCGTAACTTAGCGCGGCCTGTCTCATACTCAGAGATGAATTTCTATGCTGTGAGTATCAAAGCAGTGATGTAACTTAGGCATTTGCAGCTGAAACTTACCACTTCTTTAGCAGGCTTCAAATCATCGTCCAGAGACACAATTCGGAACAACACTGGCGAAGGAAAAAGACATAATATAAAGACGTCTTTACCTTTTGTGTCGGAGCAGCTTTCTCACTGACTGCCTTAACCTAGGCAAATGGGAAAACATTAGTTGATTGCAATCAGGGACAGGAGTTACACACGTATCTGATGTAGTCCACGGATATGGCGGTTGGTGTAATAAGCCTGTTAAATTGCCGAGAAAATATTCACTGGAACATCTTGTCATGGTTTCACTCCATTTGCGCTTTCTTCTTGTACAAAATCACCATAAAATGTGTGCAAGGCGACCTAATCACTCCATTAAGGTAGGTCCAGAAGGAAAGGCTGGTGAGATAAATTAGCTCTTAAAGCAATTCATCATAGAAATTCTGTGTGCACACTTCTTTCCGTATCTTTTCTTTGCTTATCTGCTGGGTCCTGCGTCCTAATCTTTCCCGTCAGCACCCGCGCCATCCTCCACCCACGGTCACATGATTTTCTCACCACGTCCTTACCTCCGTGACAGCTCTCAGCCAGGTGGCTTTTGTGAAGTCCATGTCAGAAAAATGAATTCTCTTGTAAAGAAGTTTCCCTGCCCCTGCTTTTCTCAGAGAACCCTCTCTGTTTTGGGTCTCTCTAGTGGTGACTACTGCAGCCTACATGACTCAAGAAGGAAAGTAAGCAACTTCCTGACATCACAACTGCAGTCAAAATTTTCGTTGCACTTTCACTGAGATAAATTTTTATTTAGATGCTACAAGCTCCTAAAACCCTACGCAACTAGTTGTCTCGAGTATGTTACACATAGAATTTCACTGAGCTAATGGTGTCCTTCTCCACCAGTTAAAGATGTCATGAGCCATTTTCACATGCTGCATGCAATAGGGTGCTTTAGTTTTCCTTTAAAGGAGAAGGAAAATACTTCTTAAAATCTGTTATTGCACCACAGCTATTGCACTTTGGGGAAAAAAAGGCATTCCCTGGTGGTAATACTCTATAAATTGCCATCCCTGCACTGCCAGCCCTTTCTATCTGCTTTTTAGAGTCGTTTAGTGTTTAACTTTGCTAATCTCACTATTGCAGCCTAATGGTCCTCTCCTGGCTTCCATTTATTTGTTCACATGCTAATTTAAAGAAATCTTATTGATAATCCATTTTGTTAGTTTATTTGTTTATGTGTGATGTCAAATACTAAAAATAAAATAGACGCATGTTCTCAAGAGTCTTACAGGACTGTGTGAGAAATCCTGATCTCAATAAATCTCATGGTTTTCAACATGTTCTTTTCTTTTTTTTGGTGGTGGTGGTGGGGTACCAGGGATCAAACTTGGAGCCTCGCCCTTGCAAGACTTGATTTCTCCTTTACTGCAATTTGTGATCACCTCTTATTTGACCTCGCACAGCAGTTTCTCACTGGATCTGTGCCACTGCTGTTGCTCCGGCCTAGTTAATCCTATGATCAGCAGGTGGAGAATTAAACATGATCTTGTCTTTTCTCAGATGAAACCTTCCATTGCACAAGGCAGTGTGTTAATAACTTGATCACTAACACACCACATGCTGGAAAGTCCTGGCCTGACTACCCCCAGCCTCCCATCCAGCCACTCCTGGCCACGCCAACTAACCCTACCCGGCGGGTCGCCCCATGGCTACACCACCTCTTTCGTTGCTGTCACGGCGATGACACAGGCCTTTCTTCCCACATGAGGGGACAGCTCTCTTTTTCACCTTACCATTGAATGTTTGGAAGCTTCTGCCTTCATTCACCAAAACACGAGTGGAATTCTGTTCGGCTGAATACTGTGTATTCTTTATTAAGTCAATCACCATTTCACTCTGAATGTATTTCCATCCATCTCTATTGACAAAATTTTTTGCTACTCCACTTTTCTATCATACTTTGTCAGTGTCCCCAAACAATAGTTAACACATTTATAAACAGCTTTGTGTCAGCCTTTCTGATCTTGCTTATGAATTTTGTACTGCTGGTCACTTTTGCATTGCTACGGTAAAATCACATTACCTACCATCTAGCGAGTTTGTCACCAGTATCAATTTTTTCAGCCATATTAAAATTTGAATATTCCATCAGGTTTTTTTTAACCATCATGTTATCTATTGCTTATTTTTAGGAAGATTTTAATGAGATTAAGAATAAATATTTTTATAAGGTTAATTGGTGAAATTTTATCAATACTTTAATATAAAATAACACATGCTTAGTAAAAAATTAAGAAATATTCCTTAGTACATAAACAAGTTAAACCAGAAGTCAATTGTAAAAATAGTATCTAGGAATAGTTTTGTATTTTGTTTGTGTATTCTCTATGTAAAATCCCCTTAACTACCGTTTACCTGTTTTTAAAAATTGACATGGACTGAAATACATGTTTTAGAATCATGTCAATTCCAGGATATATTTATGATAGCTATTTAATATTAGACCATGTACAGGTAAATTTATTAACATTTTCTTTTACGGGAAAACTGACTTTATTTTGAGAAATGTGTTCTTGAAATTTTCAATTTAAAATTGACTTACCCAGGAGTTATTATGTGAAAAAATGGCCTATATTTCTTGGTACTATTCAAAATCTTTTCCCTATTTAGTTATATCATAAATAATTTCTAATACACAGCATTTTTGCCTTTAAAACTATAAAAACTATAAACATTTGGTCAGCTTAAAAATGTAGTGAGATACATTAGTCAACTATATGCACATAGAGAGTTTCAAAATAAATGTTCTCATATTCTTTCAAAGCCTTGTAATGTATTTATTCTTAGATGCTGGGATCAGGGGTAGTTTGCTTTATTCTTTACTTCCAAGATTGGCTTTAATTCCATTTTTTATATAGAACATAGACATCTTTGAGGACAAGTGTGCACCCCACCCTCCTCTTGTCTGAACCCAACACACACACAAAAGTGTGAGTTCCTTGCAGCCCATTGGCTCTGCTAGCTTTGTATTCTGGCCTGGTCACCTGGACACCTGACCCCCATCAGGAAAGTCATGTAATTTAAGTGCACATAACCTACATACACTTCTAATAAACTAATTACCAAAATCATACTCAGCTGTCAAATAGGAAAATAATTTCTTTCTTCATAGAATAACAGTGGTTGTCTGGGTAGACACAACAAATTCATGAGTTTCTTTCCTGGACAGTGGGAGCACTCATGATTTCTCTGGACTAAAAAGTAAATTAAAATAATCTCTCCTCAATTCTATTTCAGAAGCTTAAAACATCTTTCAGCTTTCTTCCTCTGTTTAGAGTCTGATATGTACTTTTAAGAAAGAAAGTAAAAATTAATTCTATTTAATGGCAGTATAATATTTTTCTAAGTCTTTTGTTCTTGCAGAGTAAATGCTTTAAACAAACATAATGAAGCACTTGCTAGAGAATTTTGGGGAATAAGAAACTTGTGTTGATTATTTTCAGGGAGGACCTTGCAATCCGAAATCATACTAGCTGAAACCTGATTCAAATTTCTTCAGGATTACTCTAAGGTCATCACTTATGAGACCATAAATGAGGTGGAAACCCTAACTTTCTTTCTGATCTCTAAGTCACACGGTACTGCTTTTCCCCAGGTAATTTTAGCAAAAGTGCTTATAACACTTAGGAATATCCAGTCAAAAAGGTATCCAGTTTTCAGCCAGTCAAATCATTCTGGACACAGGTTTCATGAGTGGCTCAGTGAGATGCTTGTATGTATGACATGTGCTAAATGGGAAGCTAGAAAGCATAATGTCAGAAAGTGTATCTAGATAATTGGTGAGTTTTTCCTTAAGAGTTTCAGAGGGCTTAATTTACAGTAATTTAGCAATTGATAACTTCTTGCAAAATGTCTAGGCTGTATCGGTGTTGTATTACCTGTCACTTCTCAGAAGGTGGGAAAGGAGTAGTACACAGGCATGAAGATGGCATCACAGAGGAAGTTACAGCAAAGCAGATACGCATTGCAGTTTTAGCATGTGGCTCATAGGATCACAATATGTTTCTGTAAAGAAGGAAAGGAGGAGAAGCAGGAAGGAGGAGAGCAGGAAGAAGGAGAATGATGATGAAGAAGGAGGAGGATGAGGGAAGGGAGGACGAAGAGAAGTGGCCAGAAGTTAGGCATGGTGGTGCCTGCCTGTCATCCTAGCCCTCTGGGAAGTCGAGGCAGAAGGATTCCTCCAGATTGGGCAATTTAGCAAGACTCTACCTCAAAACAAAAACAAAAACATAAGGCCTGAGGATGCAGCTCAACTTGAAGTTCCCGAGTACAATAACTAGTACACCCAGCCCCCCAGTGCATGCCGCTAGGTAAAGTGCAAACCATTGCAAAGTACGTCTCTGACCAGTGATCAAGTTTTTGAAAAACGAACATTCCTCATTTGTGTATGTCTCATCATTCAGATTCTGCACTCTATTGATTCCCTTTGTCTGCACAGAGGCCTTTATTAGCAAGTAGATGGGATAAGAACGAGAAAGAAAATTTGTTTTAAATTAAGAATTGATATTTCTGTGCCATTTGTAGCAGTGTCATCCTTTGCAACCTCTGTCACCTCCAGGTCCTCATAACAAGAATCCTAGGGATTCTTCTGCCTTCTCTCGTGTTAGCCACATACAATCCTTCCCATCCTGAGCACACAGATGCATTCACAGTGTCTGCTTAACAATTCCTGGTTCTACGCAAACTTCAGAAACTGAGGCATCCCCAGTCTTCTTGTCAGGGGCTTCAGTTTCTCTCTGTTACCCCAGAACTGGTCTGAACAACCACTTTGTCACTGCTCTGAAGTAAGGAAAGAAGAAAAGACAGGGAGATGGGGGAAGAGAGGTGAGGGTGGACGTGTACATACAGTACGGTTTCTGCATTTGTCACCTCCCTCGGTTTGGTTTTCTTCAAAGTCACAGTACGTAGATGTCCAAACAAGCCGTGTTTTTAATAATCCCCAACTCACTCAACCCGCTGCGCCGGTCGTGTCTTACTTACTGAGTCAGCACACAGAATCTTATTCTCCCCAACTTTATAAAAGAGCCTTTCAAAGTATGCCTGCCTGTGACAATTATTTTCAAAAGACAGATTTTTAAAGTCGCCCTTACCCTCAGAGTAATGAACTTTTTACGAGCTTTGAAAGTAGTTTTACTTACTGAAGCTTGAGAACCACTAGAATTTCTCTTGGTACTAGGTAGAAACAACCAGACAGAAATGGTTTTAAGAAAAATAGGCGTTGGAAGCATCTCCATCTATTTAAAAATATATTCATATTCACGTTTTGTGAGTGTACCAGAGAGGTATGTAGGGAAGAACAGGCATGTTCTGGGGACAATAAGTGTCAGGGCCCTGCTGCTGGCTGGCCATGTGGACATGTAGGTTCCACATCCTCAGGTTTGACAAACAGCAGAATGAAAATACTCACAAATGCAAAACATTAAGTCAGTAGTGAGCAAGTACAGACTTTTTTCTGGTTATCACTCCCTGAACGAGACAGTAAACTAATTGCATAGCATCTACAGCACCTTAGGATTATGAGTAAACTGGGGATAATTTAAAGTACGTGGGGCAAGGTGCACAGCTCCTTGGAAACACTGCTGTGGCCTTTCACACGAGGACCTGAGCACACACACATTTTGGTGTCAGCAGAGTCTGGAAACCAATCTCCTCAGGTAAAGAGGGACAACTGCATTTTTCTTGATATGTTTCTTTTTTCGGGGTTGGGAATAGGATTCAGGGCCTGGTGTATGCTAGGCAAGCACTCTACTCTCACGATACATGTCCAGCCTTTTAAAAATACATTTAAGAAAGCTAGAATATTTTGGAGGAGATATGTAGCTAGTAAAATATTTTCAGCTTAAATTAAGAAACATTTTTAAACTGACAAAAAAAAGGGAAAGGAAGAAATATGAGAAAAGGAAAAAATGGAAACAGTCTTTGTAAATCGGGAGGGGTGGAAGGGTTGAGGGAAGGGCAGGGGAATGGGGAAAAAATAAGAACCAAGATAAGTCATGTCAAGTTTCAAGTTCCAATGATGAATGTCATCATATTGTACATCTAAAATGTACCAATAAATGTAATGAATAACCCCCCAAAAAACAAACAAAAATTTAATTTTTCATTAAATAAAGAAATATATTTCTAAGCTGCCACTAGGATAGATTAATACTGTATCCATTAAACTTCAAATGTATGAATACAAGGGATTTTCCAAGATGTCTATCAAAAGTAAAATATGTCATCATGCTTTGTACATAAATTTAGTCAGTGTGACCATCCTTGTATTTCATAGTCCTAGGAATATGTGACTATAGCTGAAGGTTGACTGAAAAAGTTGGTAATGCCAAGGGCTGGGGATTTAGCTCAGTGGTGCCACTGCCTGCCTTGCAAGTGCTAGGTCCCCTGTACCAAAAAAAAAAAAAAGGTTATGTTATATTTCAAAAGGATAAGACTTTTTGTTTTTTTTTTTAATTTATTTTGGTTTTCAAAAGAAGTCTATTTGAATAGTGGGAGTATAGAAAGACACTTTATTTGATTTTTTTCTTAAAACTTTCCTCTTCATTTTCATGCCCATTCTTGTCCAAGCATGTTGCACTCCTTATTGTCGGGATCGCAAAGAGCTAAAGAAACAGCCTTTGTACCATAACCATATTTACAGGTTCCTCAGAACGCTCCTCACACCCTTGCATCACTGCCCTAATTCCCAGAGCTGCAGTGAGTCCTTGTGAATTGCTTAACTGCACGGAAGCTACGTCAGCTCGAGCACGAAGGGATTTTCTTTAATTCCTGTATTCATTACAACTTGTTTTCCTTCATTCCCTGCATTTTCTCCACCCCAAATAAGTTTGCTTCTCATTTTGAGGCATTCTTTTTAAATTAATTCTACCCACTCTGTGCTTTCTCATATGCCATTTACCTCACCAGAAAGATTTCTCTTCTGATTTTTATAATTTATGTTCACTAACGCTTTCCAAACCCAGGAGATGAGAAGAGGCTTTTCAACTTCATTAACAATCACACATGGTTTATTTGACCACTGGGAAGTTCTCTGGCCACTAGGTATATCTCTTGACTATCTTTGCCTTTGTTTTACATCTAATTGAATTATGATCTCCTAAATTTGCATAAACTAAAATTTCACATTTTCCAGAATAACACAGATATCATTCAAGTACTAAGGAGCTCTTTAAAAATACAGTTTCTGAGGCTTACCTAGTTTAGGAAATGAATTATCTAGCATTTGGATGATATACACTTCTGTTTTGTTAAAGTAAGCATTCCAGTGCATGTTAATATAATGAAATGCTGTGACTGTATCGTAGAGCATCTATGTAAATACCCTATAAATGAGATATTAGTGGGGGTAGGTCACATACCTTCCTGTGCAGGCTTGTAGATGGGTTTGTCTGTCTGCACAAAGACCACATTCTCCTTGGGCCTGATTGCCACAGACCTTCTCTCTTCCAGGTGGACAGTGGCTCCCTCAGCGGAGAATGTGATGAAAGCTAATGGATCCAACCCAGCCTGAGGAACCTGGGGTGCAAAGAGATATATTATGAGACTGGCGTTCTTTCAAGACGTCTCTGTCTCTACTTGTGTGCTGGTGGTACTAAGAGTTTAGATTCATAACTTGTCATCTCTATTTCTTGCATAACCAATCCTGTTCATTTTTCTTGCCCTGACACTCTTATCTCCTCATTTAAATGTGTTCTCTGTGATCTTTCATAAAACTTTTCTTCACTGGACTGGGGTTGTTCCTTTTATAGATTTTAGTCCTTTAAGCTAATTTCTGTCAAAAAAAATCAAAAGTTTTGATTCTTGTCCCTGTCACCATTTAATTGCATTTACATCACCTCAAACAAAAGACTCTTTTTAAATTGACAATAACATGTACATTGTCAGATTGGCTCTGTGTTCCTAGACAGGCAGTTATATACGTGGCTTTTGTGTACCTGCAATATTTTTTCTATAGTAAGCAGAATAAAGTATTTACCTCAAAGTTGGTACATTTGAAGAAATTTTCTCCTGTAACATTCTCTTTAAATATCGTGGTCAGGACCTCACCATAGTTGAGGGAGACAGTCAAAACAACAGATTCAGTCAGGTTGAAAAGCTGGGCACAGACTTTATCCAAAGAGCTTTCTTGTAGAACAGAAGGGACCAGCAGAACATACTGCCTACAAAAGAATTTAAGCAAAAACACTAAAATTGAAGTTGTTAAATGATTAGGTTTCAGAGCTTAAGAAAAATGCCTTGTTTCCTAATGTTAGAGATACATCAAAAGACTAAATCTTAGGACTTGAATTACACAAAACAGAAAGATGCTGGTTTACGAACTGAACTTTGTAGATCCAACAGAGAACACACCGTTTACAAAGCAGTGTCCTTAGGGAATGCTTTTGCCCCGAACTGGTTAGCATGCATATCCCACTTTGTATTTGCCTATGTGTCCATTTCCGTCCAGCAGATGCCTCGCACACCTTCCTGACCATAAGTGTACAGCACAGTTTTAACTCTTACTCGACATCTCTCCCAGGCAGAGATAACATCACCACCCAAATTTGGATGGGGTTGCACAAATGAAGATATTTTAGCTTACACAGTGCAATGGCGGTATCATTTAAAATTGACACACTACAGTAAAAATGTAGCAAGTTTAAGTTTTTAACACCAAATTCTCTTTATTCTATCAGTAGTAGTGCAACCTTATGCAGTCACTTACACTTTTGGAGACTGAGAAAGAGACAGATGAATGAGAAGACAAGCCAGAAGTGATCGCGTCCACAACATGGCCCAGGCAGAGAAGGACGTCAGCCGGCAGGCTCTGCTCAGTAGATCTCTGTGTGTAGGTCAGTGTGCAGGGAGCTCAGACATTCTCTCTGGCCAGAAAAGCCAACAGCGGAGCTATATATATCCATGTGGATGATTTTGCAACCACTTCCTGAATTACTCATAAAGTGCCACACATGTTGCTTAATTGGATGCATTCTTTGAACTGTAGTTAGCTTCCAGGGCTCCTGTTTCTGACTTGCTAATAGTGCCTTTGAGTGTAGTCATCTCATTTACAAAAATATCTCCAGTTAGTACTTCCTAGACTTAACATATGATGCCTACGAGTGAATCTTTCAAGCACAATCTTCATTTCAGAAAATTCAATTACCAAGGGATCAGTACACCACTAAGCTTTTCTTTTGTGGTTTAAAACTCAATCTGTGTTGAAAATGCAGTATAAATTTCTGATTAATAATAGTTTCACAGTTATTATAAGGAGATCTATTTAAGAAATCAAACTCAGATTGGAAAGAATTTAAAAGTCTGGTATTTTTTTGCTAATTGTTGAGGTGCTGTTTTCCATATATTACACATAATATAATTTTGCATGCCAAGTAAATACTCTCAATTCTAAATCAAGAGGAAGTAACTCCACTGCTCAAATTTGTAGTATAAGGATAAAAATAGTAGCTAATATAATTTTATTATCATCAGTATATCTACTTCTATGCTTATGAATATGAAACTTTTGCTTGTCTCAAAAAGTTGACAAATCTATCAAAGAGCCTAACAAAGTAGCACTTATTTTTTTTTAAGTTGAATTTATTGGTACATTCTAGGTATACAGTACAGTTACATTCATTACTGGGATCTTGTACCTTTACATGACAGGTCTTGGTTCTCATATTTTCCCCTTGTTACCACCCTCCCTTCATCCCCTCCTCCCCTCCCCACCTAAAAACACTTTAATTCCATTTTTACATTTTCTCACATTTTTTCCCCTTTCCCTTATTCCCCTTCCCCTACCCTTCTCACTGTCCCTACACCTTTAGCCATTTTTTCCTATTTCACATTGCTAATTATCCCATTAGGATCTTGAGTACTATTTTAGTTTTTCACACCAGAGAAACTATTCGGTATTTACACATGTGTGACTTACTTATTTTCACTTAGGAGTATATCCTCAAAATGTATCCATTTTCCTATAAATGAATCTACTTTCTCATTCTTTATGGTTGAGCAGTATTCAATTTTATAGAACAACCACATCTTCTTTATCCAGTTTCCAACTGATGGGCAAATGGGCTATTTCCAAGTTTTAGCTATCACGAACTGTAGCACTTATGGTTTTGGCAAGATAAGTTGTCCAAATAAAGATACTGTTAGATTATCACTTTATTGCAGTCACAGAAATTCACCTTTGGCAATACAAGGCAAGGTGAAATCCAATGTTCCTTAGAAAGAATCCAACAAAACGTTCTTTGGTCATTTTTGGCCTCTCCTGCTTTGGCCTCCATGACTTTGACAAAGATGTGCAACATTGTATTCCTTACAAACAGACACGGGAAAATAGTGGACTCCTCGCCATAGGGGCTGACCGAGACTTTTGGAAGTAAAAGACACTATCTCAACCTTCACAGGGAAACTTTGTGAGGCACATCTGAGTTGGGCCTCACTGAGGGCCAGACACCTACTATATGAAGGTCTTCACAAGAAGGTTTATTGAAACACTGTTTCCATTTCCTTTTCCAAAATTCTTGACAAGTATTTTGAGCTTATCTTTGGTTTTGACTAAATAAATAACTCTTGGAAAGGCAATCTTAGATTGCTGTAATTTCTTCAGGTATCACAGAGTCTGTTAGGGAATTAATCATGTTAAAGTATTTTGTGATGCCGCCATCACAGGCTACATTTTCCTGGTGCTTCTTGGCTCTTAAAATGACCTCATGCCCTTATCTTTAGTTTCCCTCCCACCAAGGCCACAGCCAGACAGAAAAGTTAAAACCTACTTCTGCAGGGCTGGACCCATAAAAGGCAACATGGCCTGTTGATAGGTTACAAGTAGCCCACTCCTCATAAATAAACAATAGCTCAGCCCAAAACTAATAAAAGGACTTTCCTTTCTTTGTTCTTCTCTTTTCTTCTTCTTCTTCTTCCTCTCTCTCTGCTCTCTCTCTACTTCCACTCCTTGAATAAAATCTCCAGTCTCGGTTTGTGTGGCCTAGTTGTTGAGTGTCGCTGTTCCCTTTCAGAGTCTCCTATTATGCTGTGCTTCTAATACTAGCCTTTTACTAAAGAAACAGAATTTATTTTACAATGACAGAAACCAACTTTGGCGGGGGGGGCGGGCACTGGTATGGAACTCAGGTCCTTGCACTTGAGAGGCAGATGGCGGCACCAATGAGCTAAACCCCCAGGCCAGCCAACTTTTTTTTTAATCCTAAAAGGTAAATTACTTATATCATGTCTTCTTCAAAAACTCTTTTTTTTAGGTCCACTGTTACCTATAGGATAAATCCCAAACTAGGGAGTTTCTTCTTAAGAAAGTATTTATACTTTTCACCCACTGCATGTTCTCACTGTTATCTTCGATGAAAACACGGCATTTTCTTGGGCCTTCTATCGTCTTTCATCCTTTACGTACAATTATGTGTCTAGAATCCCTCTCCATATGACTGCCTCTCCTCCAGCTGTATGTCTGGGTCTCTTCCTCACTCTTTGTGATTCAGTTAAAACTTTCATAACTCCTGAGATGGAACTGGCTGTGGCCGCGCTAAGTTCCCATTGATCAGTTACACATCTCTGTTAGAGAAAGTCATGTAAGTGTTTGCTTTTGTGTCATATTTACCACTTGGTTATGAGAGTCTCAAAAGCACAGCTTCAGAGTTTTATTCAGTGCTGGTTTTCCAGTGGCTGGAATATTACTAGATCTTTGAAATAAGCACTTTCAACTCCCAGACTTTTTAAGCAAACCCATTTATCGGGGTCTTCTCTTTCTATCCAGAGGCGGATCCCAAAGCATACTGGCTTTTTGATGCAGAAAGACAAATGTATCTTTCTAATAATTTATTCTGCTGGATTCTTACTGCTGTTAGTTCCAGATAATTAAAAAGAAAGAAAGTCAATTATAATCAGATATTTAGGGCATGGTCAAGAGGTGGAAGGTTCATTTGTATTCATTGTTACTGTGTCTATTTCTAACCCGTTCCAGAAGATACCTGGGCACTGCGAACTTCTTCAACTACAAGGTCTTCACCAAATCAGGATAAAATTGGCCCCACTCACTTTGCCAAGATCGTGGACTCTGTGCTTTTATTCTGCTGTTTCTTTTTGATATTCCAGATGGCAAAACATCACAGATCTGATGATTATTTGCATCATTCTTTATGAAAAAGCAGCACTAAAACCTACTGCTCTATTTTGGACTCCTTTGCTTGTAACTATAAGACTAACTCTAAAGTGTGAATCTAAATGGTTATGTAATATTTGAAGATTGTAGTCAGGCATATGCTTACATGTAAAACATCCTCACTAATGAAAATGCAGCCTAGAAGTCATGCCAGTGTTGGGGCATCTGGTTGTCAAGTGTTTCTTAAATCCTTATTAACTAATCATAATTCAGAAGTCCTAGGCTAACATAAATGACAGGAAAGTTACTCTTTTTATAACTAAGTTTCATATGAATAGAAATATGATTCCTTATTCTTTGACACAGCCCTTTGGATTTCCAAAATAAATTTTGCATATTTTCAGATTGAAGCAAAAGCTGAAATTTACTGAGCAGGGAGACCTTTCAGAACATTTCTCTTTTATATGATAAAATTAATTTATATTTATGCACACAGAATATGGTATGTGTAATTTGGTGGAGAGAATCATAATTATTGCATACATACCCATCTGGAAAATAAACGTATGACAGCACAGAGCTCACCACAGATTGGCTCATGTGAACATTCTTTAGACTACCAGTTAGCGCTTAAAAATCCTCATATCTTTTCTTAAAATCTGGGCCTTATGTTCAGAATTATGTTTTATTTATTTTCTATAGACTTTCTAGAGACTTCTGTAATACTTACTGAAACATTCCTTTAATATTATTCACACACCTCTTTTATAACTAACTTTCATCTGCTGAAAACACAGTTCTTTATTTTTTTGACACATGCCTTTGGATTTCTAAAGTAAAATTTGTATATTAGACATTATCTAAATGGAGATGGTTGTAGCAATAGATATGTATGTCTTGAATACATCATCTAAATTTGATAAAAGTCATGATCGTTTAAATGTGAAATAGTAAAAAAGACAAAGACATATACACACACAAACATAGACCTACACAAGCTCTTTACAGTCTATGCAATGAGTAAGAATGCAATTTGCATAGAGAACTCTGAGTGGCCTTTTCTTACTCCCAGGCCACTCAGTGGGGCAATTCCCTTCTACTGTGAGAAGATATTTACTGTATCCTAGAAAGGGGTGATGTCATCAATAAAGGTAAGGGTGTGGAGAAAATAATAGTGTGGGCTGTGTTCCAGGAAAACTGATCAAATCTCTTTCGGGATCTGGGAAATTCCTTTTTTTCTATGAGCACAGAAATTCCACTGTCCATTTCCTTATCCTTAAAGCAGAGATATATTTTATCAAATGTAATGTTGGAGTTAGGGTTGTTTTTAGAGTGTCTATAAAAAAAAAAAAGTTCCAAACAAAATCCAAGTCAATACTAGTAACTTAAAGATTATTGCTCTAGCGAAGAATGCATTTGGAATGCCTTGTATTGGGTTTCTTTTTTAAAGGGCAGCAATTTTCTTTATGAAATAAAAAATGAGCTCAGTAATTGGCAAAGTAAAATAAGACATTCATTCAAGCATCTCTGTAAATATATTGCAATGTTATTATAGTGATACAGACTGCTTTACTTCTAGTGAGTGTTCATATATTAAATAAGAAAACATTTTTATTGACACTTTTGTCTATAATCTAATACAAGTGAAGTATACATATATACTATGTACTCTTAAAAAGTAAATAAACAGAGCCGGGTGGGTGGGGCACACCTGTAATCTCAGCACTCCTGAGGATCAGCACGGATTCAAGGCCAGTCTGGACCACACAATGAGGCCTTGTCTGTAAAACCATAAATAAGTAATACCTTCCCACGACAAAAAATTATAACAAAGAATAAATTATGGCTCCTTAGGTAGTATTCATCATTTTAATTATTAAGAAAATACACAACTTCTGTAAAGGACCCTAACTATTTTGCAAATTTTGCCTGCCAACACTTTGCATGGAATTCAGCATTTCTTCTTACCAAGAGCGAAGGGAAATTTGCCAGGAGTTTTTCACGAGTCATGCAACACATAGCAACGTGTCCTCTCCTGCAGAACCTGTTCCTGCAAAGTGGGTGCCCGGGCTTGGGTGGGCAGGGACTCCCGGCTCTGAAGGTGAGCCGGGCCCAGGCTTCTTCTCCCTGAGGGCCGCTGGCTGTGGGAAGGAAGATGCACAGGCGTTGAACCCAGGAGGCCAGCTCTCACTGTTCCCTCTGGGACTGCCGTTTGTGAGCACAATAAAGGGTCTGCAATTGTGCTGGACTCGGCATGGTTGTCCTAACAAATTACAAACGTTGCCAGAAACTTTGGCAGTAGAGGCAGATGGAGTCTTGTGGGTAGTGTGCGGTTGTTAGAGAAAGCTTTGTGCTGGGAGCAGTCTGCGTGGATGCAGCCTCTTTGTTTGAAAATTGGCACACTTGTGTTTGCATAGCTATCTGAATACTGCAGTTATTCACACTGACCTTCAAATAGTAGCATATTAAGACTGCACGTGTGCAGTGTTTTCCTTGCAAGAAAAGTCACAGAGAAAGGCCAAGACCCTGGAGCTCTGCAGCCAGGGCTGGTGCTGCTGGTTCTACCTCACACTGGGTGAGTAACTGCACGAACTGCTTAGTTTCCCTGGGCTTCTTTTCGTTTGTCTACTAACGGGAACATAACGACTGCAATATCTTAGGAGCTTGCAGTTGAAAATAGATAAAGTAATATATTTTAAATGATTAGCATAGTAACTGACACATAGCAAATATTTGGATAACTCTCTGTGGATACTAAGCCTCACCCTCTCTCTCTCTCTCTCTCTCTCTCTCTCTCTCTCTCTCTCTCTCTCTCTCTCCCTCTCTCTCTTCCCCCCAAAGCTCTAGCCATAAAGAGCATTTCTATGAAAAATGAGTGATTCATGGTAATGAAGCCTTCTGAAATTATTTATTTGGGATTAGCAGTCTAGAAAGAGACGAAAACATGAAACATGGAAGAGTCTATATGACAATGATATAGAAAAGAGGAAAATAATTTACAATGAATAAAAAAACCGCCCTTATCATCTGCAAGTAACAGAATATTGAACTAAAAGAGACTTTTCTTTTTTTGGTACTGGGGATCAAACTCAGGTCCTTGTGCTTGCAAAGCAGGCAGTGCAACCACTGAGCTAAACCCCCAGCCCTTAAAAGAGACTTTAAAAAAATGAACACCTTACTTCAGGGATTGGAGGAGCAGCCCAGTCATGTTGCTGAGTTTTGTGGGTCTGGCTGCTGTGCCTAAACAGGTTAGGTGCAGTACCATTTGCAGGTAAGCTCTTCTCTCTACCCAGAAAAGATTGCGAGGCAAAGAGTCAAAGGGAACTCAGTGAAAGTATTTATTGTAGAGCAAAAGCAGAAAGCAGCGTTTGTTGGAAAGTGGAAGCAAACAGCCCCAGGCAAACGGGCCTGGGAGGAGACCCAAATGGACTTTGTAAGGGACTCCTCCTGTAGGAGTTTGTAATGCAAGAAAAATGACTGCCCCAGCCAAGGGGAGATAACCTGCAGGTTACAAGCAGGAAAGGCTGACTTAGAAGTGGGCCTACAGGAGCTTGGGGTAGGTAGCCGGTGTCCTTTCATTAGCACCACTACTTGTAACATTAAACATCATTAAACATTAAACATTCTTTTAGGGCAGTAAGAGCTCTGCAGCTCTCCTTGCCAGGACCCTTCCCACACCCTCCGCCCCTCCTGGGCAGGTTACTTTGAGAAATCTCCTCACCCTCCCTCAGAACCCTGCTCGCCCTCAACATCATGCTTTACAGAAACCAATCTCTTGAGCTTACTGCTGGGTTCCTCTTGTTGGGTTAGGAGAAGAAAGATCCTGTGTAGGGCTTCTGGTTCATCCTCCCTGAGTCTCTTGCTGTTTCCCTGCTTCAAGTAGTAGTTGCCTTATGGTTATAGTGAAGATTACGTCTTTCTAACAATACCTGAATCTAGAAGAAAGGAGTCAGTAAGAACAAGTTTTCCCCCTTCATCTTTTTCTTCCTCTCCTTTTCCCTCTGTTCCTCTTTTAACCAAGAAGGATGGCCGCAGGTGCCATGCTGGGAGGGCTCTGTGCTGCTGCCTCACAAGACCTGAGCTGTTAGCCACTCCCTTCCCTCAGGGGCAGTCATGGCCTCAGTCAGAGGTCACAGATGCCACCTCACCAAGGTTTCTTCTCTTCCCTCACTGAACAACACTGAGTGCTGCATTGCTATCAAGGCCCGACTTTCTTGCCTTCGATTAGGACAAATCTCAAAGGCATCCCGACACCCCAGAGTGCGTGTTGAGACCTTTGGGGTACCGCCTTGTGGTTCAACTCTTCTTTCTGTGTCCTGTGTCCTTTCCCCCCACGGCTGCTGACTTTGGGAGTTCTCACCAACAAATCCCCTGGAGCCAAATCTGAGTTTCGGAGGCTGTGCTTCGGGGACTTAACCTACACGATAAGGTAATTGGTTTAGGAAAGTTGCAGCTCTTTCACAGCACCCTGGGTCGGAGCAGAACACAAGTTCTATTCCAAATTTAAAAGGAAGAGGAAGGTTTCTCAGGTGAGCAGCCATAAATACTTTTCGAGAAGTTTTATTTTGGCTGCTGCATTGTATCAGAGGGATGGGAACCGAGGAAGGAGGATCTGAAGTTTGAGGTCAAACCAGGCAGTGTAGATTTACCTTCAAAACGTATCTGGAATCCGATCCCTTTCTACCACTCCCCTGCTTCAACTGTGGTCCAAGCCAGCAGTGCTGTTGGCCTGCGTTACCCGCACAGATTCCATCAGGCCTGCTCACTTCTGCCACTGAACTCCCACCGCCTGCTCCCCACACAGCAGTCTGGGATCATTTTACAGCACCAGATCAGCTTCCTGTCCAATCCAAAACCCCGCAATGACTTCAGGTCTGCTCAGAGTGAAAGCTAAAGCCCTAATGTTGACCCTCCACCCCCTACCTGCCCAGCTCCCCATTGCGGTCCTATCTCCTTCCTTCCTACTGCTACATCGCCTCTTTTCTCGCTCTGCTCCACCCACACCGACTTTAGCACACTTCCACCTATGGGCCTTTTTAAGAAAAGATGATCATTACCTGATTTTATAGCCAGGAATCGTTTCTCTTCAGATTTCTATGTGGTTAGTTTCATCTCCTTCTTGAAATCTTCTGCTCAAGTCACTGTCTTAATAAGATCATCCTTAAACATCAGGTTTGATTTATCAGTCTTTTTCCTGTTTGTGTCCTACGGTGTTCTCCATCCTCTGATCCCTCTCTATATTGTACTGTTCCCATAGCACTTATCAGTGTCTCCTTTCCTATACTTGGTTGATCCGTTATTATGTCCGTTATATTGTCTGATTAAATGGTCTCCTGCATTAGAATTAAGCCCCATAAGGGCAGTCATTTTTATTATTATTTTCACTCACTGTTGTTTCCCAAACAGCTAGAAGAGGGTTTGGCCACTGTGAGAACTCAAGCTTGGTGTGAATGAAAACATGAGACAGGTGGATAAAAGAAAAAGAACTCCTGAGAGAAGAAAAATTCTCCACCGTGCCTGTGATCATGCCATGTCACTTTGACTAGTTTATGACATGCTTAGAGGATTAGTAAAGCACAGTGCTGGATGTGTCCCTGAGATATTCCCAGGGATGCTGGGCACACAGGCCAGCCATTTGGGGGAGGGGGACATACCTTGGTTGTGGGAAGCGCCAACCAATAAGCTTGTAGCTTAGATAAAATCAAAGGGAAAGAAAGAAGCTGGCGTGCAATCTGATGACCCCATTAAACTTGAGTGCATGTGTTTTTGCTGTGTGGACTTCAGAGCCAGTGCAGATCCACAGGAGCAGCTCCCCAGGAGCTCCCAGGTGTCCATTTTTGGATTGGTGCTATATCCCTGATCCCTGTTCTGTGGCTTCCAGCTTCTGGGACTGAACATCTACTGGATCCTCCTGCTGTCCAGCACACAAGACGGCCACTGTGGAGCTGGACACTCTCACCTCTCCCTTGAGCCTGCCTGGTAACTTCTCTTGCATAATTATATATTATATATAAATACATATATATACAGATCACACTGAACTGTGAAGTACGCCAAATGAAGGCACTTAGACCTGCTTTTTCTTGCAGTCTCGGAGAAAGTGTGCTGCCTTCAGTACCTGAACTGCACCCAAGCCTTTAATGAACACCTGTTAAGAGATTGCATAGATGAGCTGCTAAGTGTTCGTGCACGTGGGCGCTGTGCAAGTTGATTTCACTGTGTTAGGGATTTTCAGTCCCCCTCGTTACCCAAGCATGCATGCCAAGCCTGAATGTTGCATATCAAACTCCACTCACTGTGACTATTCAAATATCTCATTCAAGGAAAATAGGACTCTTATACATTTGAGATAAAGTTTCAAGGGAAATGAAGGGAATTTAGTTTGTGCTATATGACATTCATTTGTTGGTATATTGGGTAGGAACAGAGTTGATAGAATATATATTGCCAGTTTTATAGTTATTATTCTATAGTTATCAATTGTATACATCATGGCAGGGAATAATTATTATTACTACTCTCATAACAATTTGATACAACTTATTGAAGAGTAATACTCAATAACTTCTCTCATGATTTAACTTGACTATTATCGTAATGCTTTAATGGTGTTATAGTATTGTTATATAGAATGATTGAATACTTTTTCAATAATAAGTTATACACTCAGAACAATAACATAATTTTTAAAAGATAAAATATTTGATGAACTGCCTGATCTTGTATATAAACTCAATGATTCCATCATTTAAGTTATGACTATTTTCTACTTTTTCTTCCTTTTTTGACGTCTTTAACTGGGGAGATTCTAAGTGTTTTTTGTGTTTGTGTGTTTATTTTTGTTTCCTTGAGCTTTCAGAGAGTCCATTTCAATTTTCACCTAGTCTCATTCTTCCCTTCATATACCTCCTTCTCTAGATGTTGAAGGATTCCTATTCTATATGCCCTAATTTCTAAAACTCAAATTCAGAGTTGACAACAATAAAATAAACTATTCAAGCTGCTAGGAAACAAAGCCCTGAGCTTTATAGAAAACTATGAATGAACTATTAGAAGAAAAGAAAATCATGAACTCAAATATGAAATCATAGCATTTAATGGGGTAGAAAAGAGACAAAATTTGACAAGAAGACATAAAAGATTGTGGCTTATTCAAAATGTGCAGTATGTTATGGTTTTCTTCCAGGGCTGGTATAGAAGAGGAGCTTGTTAAAGAAATAGCTTTCCATCTAGGATTTAAAACAGATTTTAAAGAATAAACAAATATGTATGCATACATATATATAGATGGACAGATACAAAACATGATCTACATACAAATACACATCTACCATATTGAAGTGTTCAAATATATGTACATACATATTTGACCTATCAAGTTATAAAATGAAAATGAGAAGATTAATAAGAAGCACATATATGGCTGTGAACTCTGTAAAGCTATTTTAAGGAATTAATAAAATTTTAAATGATTATCAGGCTACTGATGTGTTACATAGAGCTATACAAACCATATGAAGTACTAGAGACTTCTCTGTTTCCCCCATTATTCTATTTTTAAAATTTTCTTACCAATAAAATTTTAATGGTCTATGATATAGTTAATTTCTTTACCTGTTACTTCTGTGTGTCTCGCTGGGAACCAGAAATATTACCAATGTTGTAAGAACCAAAGGCATATTCATCTGGAAAATAAAGGAACATGCATCCTTACCAAATCTCCAACTGTCATAACCAGCTTAGTCATACAATATAGTAAGCACATTAGTACGAAGTTTTCTAATAATTTTCAAGGAAGTAAGTACTCCCCATTTTGTAAATCCATAAACATCCCACTGCAGTTTGCCACTTGATGAAATGCATTCAATTAATGAATAAAAGAGACAGAATTCAAATACTTCTTGACAAATGTCATGTGAGATTCAATAAGAAACTAACAGTACCAACATTCCACAGAAAAGTTTTAGGGTCTCTGCAGTGCATTAGTAATTGTTTGGAACATAATCTATGCAAATTGTCCTGTAACATTTCAGAGTACTGTCCACCGCATCCTTAAGTCAAAGTCCACAGAGGTAACATAACATGGTGAGTGTTTGCATGAGCAGCAGTGACCACAACAAAAAGACTCGGAGGCTTAATATGGCTTGCAAGTCAAGTTAAAGGAGGACTTTTTCAGGTTCTAGGGAAACATTCTAAGTATTGAAAACTCTGCTCACTGGAAAATGCCTCAAGCAGAAGCTACATCCTGAAAAACAACAAGTCCCTGGTACAAAGTAAAAGTGTCTATTGTGTAGTCTGAAGAGAGGTTGATTTTGGAAAGTGTAGTAGCCTGGGCATCTCTTTATAGGCTGAGGCCATTGCCACTGGCCTACCTTTATCGTGGTAATTGCAGACCACCACCAGAGCTGGCTGAATGTTAGACACAAGGTTGCTTTGCTCAACAGAAAAAGTGAAACTGTTCGCTGTGTCAAAATCCTACAAAGATGAAAATTATAAATACATCATAGCAAGTCTGAAAGAGGAAAATGACTGAGAATTATTTCCAGAAGTTCCGTACCTGTCCAATTAAAGAGATCTAGAGTGACCGTTATCACACATAATGGAAAGGAGAGTTAGTTAACATTAAATTGTGTGAAATTTTAATTTCTGTTACTTATTGAAGGGCAAGGAATTTAGTTTAAAACTTTGGAGGAATATAAATGTTTGAGTGAGTGAGTGGTAATGAAGTATACACAGAAAAGATGGTTCTAAAACTCAAGTCACAGTATGGAGTTTCCTCAAAAAAAGGAAAAATAGAACCACTGTGCGATATAGCAACCCCACTTCTAAGTATGAAAAGAATTAGAAGAACAGTATTGCTGAACTTACACTTTCCAAGTAAAAAAGTACATGGTCGTTCTTGACTTCTGTCTTCATTACGTGGCCATTGTTTTCAAGCTTTGAAGAAATTGGTGGGGGAGGAAGGGGAGCAGATATTAAAATACGTGAGAGTGTCACTGCGGACTTGCTTGCTCAGGCTTTCTCTTCTGTGAGGTTCCACTTTATGGGATTTTCCTTGTCCCATAATGTTTTCATAGGCACAGTTAGAAATCAAATATGGAAATATTATCTGTGTTTTGCTACAAATTAAGAACTTCATCCCTCAGGTTACACTACAGCAAAAACACAACCCTGAACTTTGAAGTATGTCTAAGTGAGGAATTCCATGGTTTTGTCTGCTCACCGATTTTACCTAACACACTATTAATGTCTCTGTACTGAGAGATTGTGCTTCTATTGTCTACCTGCTCGATGGATGACATGACTGGGGTAAATCCTGAGAGCATCTTTACATCCACAAGGACCACACTGGGGTTGTTGTGAATTCCAGTATATCTGAAATTGAAGAAAGAAAAAATCCCACTCGCACATATACCAATTTAGAAAATGACCTGACACAGTGAGGCCGGAAGGAGTAGCCCGGAGTATAATGCAAAAACAGCAGTGGAGAGACCCAAGGAAAGCCATCTTCATACAGCTGAGAACCATCACAACCAAGTGACAGTGGATGAGGAAACACAGAGCAACAAATAGAGGAACAGATAAGGAATTAACTGAATCCAACACATGCCAAGCGCGGCTCTTGAGGGTATCTGAGATCTCAGAGACCGAACTTACAGCAAGGCTTACCCGTGTGCACTACACACATCAAGCTGGCCCACATTTACCCAACACCGGCTGATCTTTGTTTCAAAGGCAACGAGTGGCAGGATAGGAAGTGGCTGTGCCCCCAAGAAGTATTCTAGGCCTTGATCCTGTCTCTGCACAGCATTGCTGGAACTGCAGTTAAGATTTCCACAACGTATTTCATTCATAGCTCCGATGTTCCAGAGATTTTATATTTACAAATCTTGGGAAAGGTCTCCCAAACTAATTTTACTCAAGGCCTCCCTGCATATGAAATTAGGTTGAAATCTTTTGGCTTCTGTACATCATATTTGAATGCAAGAGGATTATTTTGTTTTCTTTTCAAAACAGTAAAAGATCTAAAATTTTGCTCTTTATTAGTATAAAATAACCATTTGCTGTCTTTCTTGTCTTGAGGAAGAACTGTCATGTCTTTGTTATCTCAAACTGGCAATAGTTCCACATGAAAAAAATCAAAGCAATGCCGGGCCCTCTTTGCAGCAAAGTTTTCAAATTATTCTTGCATAGAGTGTAAATTATTATACTTGCTCCAAATCCTAGCTCTGACTTAGTGGAAGTTGTACCAAACTGACGTCTGCACAGAAAGAAGTGAAGGGACCGTGATGTGTATGTAATATCACTGTCATCATCACACCTACCATCATTCTTATTTTGTTTTTCCACTCCTGTTTAAAATAATTATTCTTTTGCACCCACATTTATAGTGGCACAGTTTGTAATGGCTAAAACTTGGACATAGCCCAGTTGTCCATCAGTTGGAGACTGGATAAAGAAGATATGGCTTTTCTATAAAATGGAGTACTACTCAGCCATAAAGAATGAGTAACTGGAGCCATTCATAGGAAAATGGATGCACATTGAGGCCATGCTCTTAAGTGAAATAAATAAGACACACATGTGAAAATACTGAATAGTTTCTCTGGTGTGAAAAACTGAAAGTGTAAATAAGATCCAAATTGTATAACTGGTAATGGGAAATAGGAAGAAAAGGGCTAAAGGTGTAGGGGAAGTGGGAAGGATAGGGGAAAGGAAATAAGGGAAAAGAAAAAAATATGAGAAAAGGGAAAAATGAAAACAAAGTCTTTTTAAACAGGGGAGGATGGAGGGGGTGAAGGGAGGGCAGGAATATGGGGAAAAAAATGAGAACCAAGATCTGTCATGTAAAGATACAAGATCTCAAAGATGAGTGTAACTGTACCGCGGGCCTAAAGAGTACCAATAAACTCAATAAAAATATAAAATAATATTTTTTGATATCTCTCTAGTGTTGGAATTAATGTCAGACTTTGACACTCACTCGAGGGCCACTGTAAGGTCAAAATGGGTCTGTAACACATCTGAAGAGGTGTTCTTGATGATTTCCAAGGAAAGGGAAAACCCAGATGCCTTCTTGGGAAGTGGCACATTAAACTTGATGGTTGCCTAGAACAGATAAGTGAGAGAAAACTCACTTTGTACTGAGAACTGAAGGACCTATTATTTTTATACAGTATTTCCATTCTTTACATATTTCACAGATTTCTCACCAGGCAATCAGACTAAGTTGACTTTAGTTTTCACCAGAGACTGACTCTTTACCAACATCCTTTAAGGAACATAGAATGTTTTATACTGACAACATTCCTCAAGGAACTTCTAGCCAGGTATTCTTGAAGAGTGAGTACTTCTTCATAAAATAACTGAGTTTCTGTTACTGATGGGGAAACCTGAGAGGGAGCGTAGAGATGAACGCGGAATCATGCGAGATGCCAAGACCACACTTCATCTATAACCACCATGGATTCTCACTGGCAGACCCTCTCCTCCTTTTCAGGAAGGCTTCTGTTACCTGGATAAATGCACAACCCTGGCCTTCCACATCGACTCTGTACTGTCCTTCTGCATTCGTTAGCTCTGAACGTTGGACCAGTAAACGGTTTTCCCTGTTAATCTGGAAAATCTCCATGGATTCCTCACTTGTGAAGGTGACAGTGTTTCTTCCGTTCGAGAAGGTTAATTTCATGTAGCTGGTGATGGCAAGAAGACAGACCGTGGTGTCCTGCAAAGAGCAGTACAAGCTATTGTAATACAGAGTTAGGCATCATTTGACTACAACCTTTCAGTCAATCCACAGAACTATTCCTAAAGCAAGTCAACAGAGCACCAAGAAGCAATATTCTGAACAATAAAAAATATATGTACTTGTGAAATTGTTACCATTTCATTTTCTTCAATAAATCTTAATTTAATTTTAATTTTCTAAATGATTTGATAAAATGTAACCTCTCTCTTGAAAATGTAAAGGTGCTGTATAGTTTGGTGACCTCACAGTACCTCCTACGCCACTCAACTTAGAAAAAGAAAACAGAGGGCTGCTGGTTACTCCTGGGGTTTGCTGCTGAGCTGCCTCCTCCTTCCTCCCAACTTTTCTCTTTACCCCCAACTTTCCCTGTCTCCCTGGTCCTGCTCCATTTGCATTCTCAACTTCTTCCTGGGCACACAGAAAGCTGTTGAATCCAGCGTTCAGAGCACCTGCCTTGTTGCCCTTTTCTGTCCAGCATTGTTTTCTGGCTTAACCTAGTAGCTTTATCCTTTGCTTTTGCCTTCTCTTCACTCTTAAATCCCATTCACCAAAGTGGCTTTAGGCCTTTGGATATTTTGGAACCTATCTTCTGGAGACGCTGGCTTTGGACTCATCTGTGAAATTATGTAGTTAGGAACCGTCTGCCTAAGAATTTGCACTATTTAAACCTGCAGGAACTGGGTGTGGCAGCTAATCCTAACCCTATAATTCCTGGCGGGGGCAGAAGCAGGAGGAAGAGTGAGTTTGAGGCCAGCGTAGGCTACATACTGAGTACAAGGCCAATCTGGATTAAATAATGAGACCTTGTCTCAAAAAACAACCAATGAACCAACCAACAGCAACAATCACAAAACCTGCATGGGAGTCAGGATGGATAATTTTTAAGAACAAAGGAGAAATTTCCCTCAGCATTCTTTTCTACCCCCACCCATTCCAGCCTTCAAGTGCTGTGATGGAGAGCTCAGAGGGTCAGTCCTGTGGGGTGGACCCTTGGGTTATCTCACCAGAACAAGGGCTAAGAGTCCATGGGTCAAGAACATTTGATCAGAATTTCAAAGGATGGTACCCTTTCTCCTTTCCTCTACATTTCTTATATTCTTTTTATGTCCTTTGTTTCTACTTCTTTTTCCTTTTCTTAATTGGCATTGGAATTAAAGTACATTTTAAAGTATGTGTTGTATTTACTGAAGTTTTTAATGTCCCTGGCTCATAACACAAGGAAAGACAGAATCAGGAGACCTTTGGAGACTCTGTTAGTCTATGGTTTTACTAAAAAACCTAAGACTAAAAGGTGAGGGAAATGAGCATTTTCCCAGTGGAAATAAATCTGCATTTCCTTGCACTTTCAATTTTTCTTGAAAAAAACAAATTATTGGTTTTATGTTTACTCATTTCCCCCATTATTCATTCCTCTCATGTTCTTTTTTCATTGCATAGACCACAAGATCAGGGGGAGATTTTTCTTTTTGGTTGATGTGCAGTCTGAGTTCAGCATCGTCTGATCACTAATGTATCAAGACTCTGACGCCTGTGCCCAAAATATCTTCTAAAATCACATTCTATTTTTTTGCTGTGTAAAGGAAGCTATTGACAGGGCATAAAGAAGAGGCCTCATTTTATTTATCTATTATTTATAGAGGTTTTCCTTAAAGATGCCTGATAACCAATAACAGACCATAAATAATTGTTGACCAAATAAAATAGGATTTAAAAACTGAAACACTCTTCATCTTAGCAGGGGCATTGTGGAGATTGTGCTTGTGCTCGGAGCTCACTGCAGAGCAGAATCTTCTGCATTAAGCACGTCGCTTTCACATCAGTCACCTGGATGGAAGCGAAGCCCCCGTGGGAGTTCATCTTCTGGACGAGCCACTGCACGATCTTGCTAGCATAGGAGAAGTCCAGCGTTCTCCGCGACAGCACAGCCAGCAGCACGTAACACGTCTTCTCAGTTTCACTAGAAGGAGCCCAAGGAATGAAGGATGGGAAGCTGCCTGTCTTGGCTTTCTTTTCTTCCTCCCAGTATATCACATTATCTGAGAAAAAATGAAGACCTTCTCATAGTCACTAGGCAAAGAGTTTTCATGTGGCTTCTATGACAAGTCCTTAAAAAGTTACACAGATAGAGAATGCAAATTCCATTCCTGGTCTCTGTATTGGGCTGAGCTATGTGGCCCTGAAATTCATATGCTGAAGCCCTCCCCTCTGAGACCTCAATGGGTCTGCATTTGGAGATGGGATCTTTCCAAAAGGTCATTAAATTAAGGTAAGTCTTTTAGGGTGGGGTGTTATCCAATCAGGTGATCCGTAAAAGAAGGGGAAACTTGTGTACACCAGAAGGCCACCAGAGGTTCATGCACATATAAGAAAAACTATGTGAAAACAGATGGGAAGACATCCATCTACAGAAGGAAAAAAACATACTTCACATCTTGATCTTAGACTTCTACCTGCGAGAACTGTGAGAGAATAAATTTTGGTTAAAGTTAACCAATTTGTGGCCTTTTATTGTTATAAACCGGCCAAGTAACATATAGCAACTCTTTAAGGTGGAAATTAGTTCTATAAGTAACTATTACTGCCTGTGGCATGGAACTCTGCTTGATTTCCTTAACTACATTTATTTGAGATGGAACTATCAGCAAAGAAAAACAGTGAAATCTAAAGTATGTAATATTCTTTAAAGATAAAGGAGCACTGAAGAATTCCAGAAAAGAAACAGATGTACTGGCGAAGAGAGGATTGCTTAGAAAGTTGTACCACTTTGTTTCAAGATCAACTCCCACTTGATAAAATGAATGACACAGCTTACTCATTTTTGTGGCAGATTGATCCAAGATCTGGAGCAAGGATTCCACTTGCTCTTCTTTTCCAGCTAATGCAAAAGTGTAGGCTAGGACAGCATGAGTGTAGCCATTAGTGACGCCTCTTTGCAAGGCATCTTCCAGGCAAAAGAGCCCATTTCTTAAAGCAGGAAACTAGGGAGGAGAAAAACATATATGTTAAAATCACACCTGAATATTTTATAAGCTCTCTGAATATTCAAGCTAGTCACTACTTATAATGTATAAAATACATGCTTGAGTACATTTTACAAACAAATGTATTCATAATACTCATATGTACTATACCTTGAAAATATCATTAAAATAAATTTGTAATGCCATTATTAGTATGTGAGAAACAAAATTTCTTATAAGGAAATGATAGCTTTTTTGTCTTATCAGTGTTATTTAGTTATAACAAATTTATTCTGTGTGAGAAAGCAGACAAATTTACTCTTAAGATCTAAAATATTTTGCTTTGATGCCTTAAACACAGGTTTACATTTCTGTAGATGATTTTCAAGATATGCCAAGTATCCTGAAAATTCCTACCTCTTAATTTAGGAATAGGTTTTGGAATCAGATAAGCTGAAGTGTGGGTAGGGAGGTAGGCAGGGTAATTTCCACTTAGTTTGAAAATGTTTACTCACTGATTATATATAAAGCGACATAATTTGAAGTTATAAAATTGCTTAGAACAGAGGTTCTCAATCTGAAATTCTTGCCTGAACTTTAGCAGATACATGAATAACTGAGATTATGTGCAACACTTGAGCATTTGTGCCAAATATATTCTACCTCGGGAAAACCCTACTGATGTGTATCAAAGGAATTTCTGAATGAAAGTTTACATAGCATCAATTTGAAAGTGGTAATGGATGAAATGTTCTCTCAATGTATCATCCTGGCTAAGAATTTCATTCACTCAGAATGTAGTCCGTCTAAGGGGCTTTTAGCGGACTGAAGCCAAATGAGAATGGGATCCATACAGTGGAGTTGAGTCCAGCTTCAAGGAACATCACAACGATAGATGAGGTCAGAATGATGTCCTCTTCCTCGCCACCCTAAGACCAAAGACCAAAGGAACTTTACTGTATACTGGATGCAAAGCACAAAAGAAAGTTTATTTTTCTGAAAGGAAACTGAGTAAGAAAGAAATAATGGAACAGAGACCCTTGTTCATAAAAACACCTGAACATATATTTTCTCTCTCTTTCTCTCTCTCTTTTTTTTTGTGGTGTGAGAGACAGAACCCATGTATTCACAACAGCTAGGCAAGCACACTCTACCACTGAGCTGTACCCCTTTCCAAATGTGTGTTATTTAAAAATCAATTAATAGCAATGCTGCTTGAGCAATAATTCATTAAAATACAATATAATCATAAGGCATAAACATTTTAAAATATATTTCATGGCATATTAATATTTATGTGTTTTGGTATCATGCAGGGATCCCAAGTACTTCATATAACTCTAACTGTATTTGATATTAATTTGAGAAAAGGCAAGAGTTTCTGCTGAGGTGAAACAAAGTGTTTAGAAACCTCCTGAAAAATTCCCTGTACAAGAGATAAGAATAGACATGGACAACAATCTTTGATCTTCAAAGAAAGGAAGTCAGAAGGAAGGAAAATGTTTTGTGACTTACGCCTTAGACAAGAAAAGCAAAGGGGTAAACCCTGCCAAAAACGTACTTTGTCTCATGTGCACTGTGGCCCAGGCAGGTGTGGCCAGTGAGGCTTTCTGTGAGAGGGTATCGGAGGGGCTTGCTTCTCAGAACAAAGTAAACTATCAAGCAGTCGCCCCGAAACTTTCTTGTCATTCATGACTAGGAACAAATTTACATTCCTTGTGTACTCAAGACCTTTTCCTTTAGCACAGCATTGTCTGGTTCCAAACTTATGAATGCACTTTCTCTAGGCTTTCTTTTCTCTCTGTTTCCATTTTACTTACTACAGAGGACTGGCTCTATGTAAGGATTAAAGACTGACTAAGACAGACCAAAGTGTAGGAGCAGTTATAGCCAGGCTATGGTTAAATATACGTGCAGCAGGAATGTGGCTGTTGACCAGGCTCACAAGGCACAAGATTCCCATGAAAAATGACCACATTCCACCTGTGGTCGGCAAGAGGTAAAGAAAGGCAGGCAACGTGGAGGAATGAAAAAGCTTCATTCTGTTTCTCACCTCCCAAGCATTGTTGGAAAACTTTTCATCACTTTCAAAGCAGCCATTTGCTTTCTGTTTGCTTAAAAGCCAGATTAAGGTCTGTGTTTGAACTGTTTCGTCAATGAACACGTACTTCTTCATTCTCTCAAATGTCTTATAAGTAAGGACGCTGAACCTGTAGGGCAGGTCATCAAAGAAAAAGTCAGATAAAATAGAAGCGATGATGTCAGCCACTTTTCAGCTTCATGCCGACTGTTCTCTTTGTGTAATGGATTCATTCAACTTGTCCAATGCCATCTGTAACAAGTTGCGGCCAATAGTGGCTCTTTGGAGTCAGTGGTGGACTATTTTGAATAGGTATCTATAGAAATGAGAGAACCAAATTTTGAGGCTGTTTACATCCAAAGGTCTTTCTCTATACTCTACTAAATTAGGCATACATGGAGACTCACCTGTCATAATCAGATACTTTGGGCCTCCTAGTTTAATTTTCCTGAATCAGTACAGCTCCGTGAGAAGCACAGAGTAAGGTGTGGCATTTTCCATACAGTTAACCAGCTACAGCTATAGGGAGCTGCCATGAAGTGATCAGACAGCTAAGCAAACTGCGTGAGACTCTAGGTAGACTGTGGCAGAATTAGAATAAGCGAATCTTCTGGTTTTATCTGATTCTGCTCTGGAAATTCACCCTGAAAGTCACTTTGCTGGAAAACATCCAATGGCCATAGCCACCTCCCACTTCTTGTAAGCCCTCCTCAGATGATGTCTGTATTGTTGAAAATAAAATTTTAATCTCTCACCATATGTCTCCTTTCTTTTTTCTCTGCCAAATCACACTATAAGAACCATCAAAGTTTTTGAAAGACAACTGCTTTTGATAACCTAAAATACAACACAGTAGGAATTTATTTTTTAACCCAAGCAAGAAAAACAAAAAAACAAAACAAAACAAAAAACCAACAGTGTAGTACAAACTCTGAGTTTTGCTGTTAAACATAAGAACATTTCTAGGGTAATCATGTCAATTTTAATTTCTGACACTCATGTTCTCTATAGCTAATGGAGAAAAAAAATAACTGTTACTTCATAAGATTTTGGTGACAAATAACACACAAATATGCCTTGCTTACAAATTGACTCATCATTAGTACTTATTAATTAATAATTTTGCTTTAAGGTCTTTTTATTTCATTCAGTTCTACCTTTCTGAAAAGAAGAACTGAAGGCATTTACCCCTGGACTTGTCACTGATATCACGTTTTACAGTTCATAGACCCTTTTTCTACATTCAGGTCAGATCATTTCATTGCAATAGAACACTAATAGGTGAATACACCCAGAATAAATGAATCATTCTTAACAATGATGAACAATAACAACAATCAATGTAGCTTGGCAAAATATTAGGCATTAAAAAATCTCTGAGTTCATAATTGAAAACATTACAATTCTAAATTATGAAGCTGAGTGACCATACAAATTCTGTTGTAAAAAATAAAACAGCTAAGACTCAATAGTACTTATCTTCAGGTCCACTTTTGCTTTATCAGACTACTGCATAATAACAGCTTTATTACATCTTAGTAATAGTAAATGCGCATTTCACTTATTATGGGAAGGAACTAAAATCATCTCACCATTAGACAAGAGAGAGAATGCCTTAGATTTGACTCCCTCTGTCATTTGTTTAGTAGAGCTCAGGTAATCAAGGACGTAGGTATTGGAGGCAAGAAGGGCAATATTCTGCTCTCCCCATCCATAGGGCATTTGGAGAAGATTCTCCAGATTCTGTGTTGCAACTCCTAGAATATCCCCTAAAATAGGAAAAGCAGAGTCGTGTCACTTGCAGCTGACAGCTTGACATTAATAACCATATATTAAAGAGGTGTGGTATAAATAAAAAACATTCATACTGAGTATAAATGGTGCAAACATGGAAACGTTTCATAAAGTGCTGTAAAAGGAGGCAGCCATGAGGAGTAAATTAAAAGGGTTCCTGGTATGAAAAACTATTTCTGAAATCTCATTACCAGACAGAGCAGGAAGCTAGGAAAGTGCATTTGTTTGCTTGTTTGGTTTTGGAGAATCTGACCCTATGAAATATAAACTGCAATACACCCCTCACACCAAAAGGTGTTAATGATAAGGTGCTAACAAAAGGTGCTGATGATGAGAAAATGTCTCTTTTAGAAAATATCTCTCCCTTTAGAGGAAAATCCCAATATCTTAAACATGCATAGTTTGTTCTGATTCCTGAGACGTGATCTAGTATTTCAGATTAAGGGTTATAACACAACCCTTTGTTTCCTGAATACCAGTTATCATCTAACAGGTGTTTCGTAGGGATATAGATTTGGAAATGGTAGCACAATCCCTTCCAATCCTAGATGGAAACAAGCATAGAGCATGATCTGAACAGTGATTCCTTCCAATTGATAGCTTAAGAAAATCTCTTTATTTGTTATTTTAGAAATTTTCTGAGATCACCTTAACCAAGACTTCTATATCAATATGAGGCAAAATTTAATCAACTTACCCATGACAATTAAAAAGGCTCTGGCTGAACCTTCTGCTATGTCATTTGGCAACTCCAGCACCACCTGCTTGGAGGCTTTGGTACCTGAGAAGAAAAGTACCATTAAAACAACAAGAAGACTTCTTTTTGTAAATAATAGCAGCAGATTTTAGGAACAAACATATTAAGAAACAGATTCCATTGTCTATTTTTCTTCTACAAATTGCTTTTCAGATGAAATAAAATTGAGGACTAAATCATTTTGAACAATAATACATTCAGAAAATGGTCTATAAAGCTGGCCTCCATTCTCCACTAATTTAAAATATTTATTAATGGAAAAATGTAAAAGTATAAAAACTACTGCCCACATGATGTACAAAACCACATACCCAAAAGGCACAGCTTACAGAGTCTTACAAAACATTAAAGTTGGATTTCACAAGGTGAAATAGTACTTCCAATGGACATAATGCAGACAAGTGAGGGTCAGTAATGTGTCTATGGATTGCTTAATTCTAAGAGCACCAAAGCAAAGATTATGTTATGGAACATTGCTACATAATCCTGATTTCTCATCGACTGACACTGTGTGGTGGTTATATGATAAAATACACAGATGAGAAAAGTAGATTGAGGCAGAATAGTACCATAGGTTTTAAAAGTATTTTCTAGGCATAAATTATAAATTATACAATGATAAAATTATACAATGAAGATCAGACACGAGATAAAGTAATCTAAGGGTAATAAAAATGAAATCGAATGGCAAGTGGACTAATGTATGGGGAGAGGAAATAAACTGGTCTAGTTGATAAAAGTTCTTATTTTCAAAAATCTTCTTACCTTTTGTGCAAATAAGAAAACTCTGGGTCATTTCCTTTTCAATACCTTCGGGCTGTCAAAGAGGAAGTAAAAAAACAACCAATAAATAAGGAAACTAGTTTGGATTGGCTTTCTACTTCAAGCTGTCAATCAGGCCTGGTAGGCAGGGCTGGCCAGGTGGGCTGTTGTCCTCTCTGTCCGTATCTAGAGGTCACTACACATACCCAGCACCTTGGGTTGAACAATGAGGGACAATCTCAATCCCTCTGCACCGGTCTAGCATTCTCACAGACAAAGGAAAGTGTCCTGTAGAGTAGGACACGCCAACAGGCAGGCAAGACTGCTCCCTGCCAAGCACGGAGTCCTGCAGAGGATGATGGTAGCTCAACGGGAGCAGAGGACAAATGCATTTTTTTTCTTTTTTGTCTTTACATTTGAAGCTCCCTTAAGAGAGGGAGGAGGAACAGATATCAGGGAAGCACCAAGTGTCCTCAGTAAAAAAATTCATCCAGCCCCTGTCGAGTTTTACTCTTTAGAGTGAAGTATTAAAGAAAGGATGAGATTAATGCTGTTTTGAATCATTTAAGATGATACATTTCATGTCAGAGTAAGACAGAGAGATTAATCAAGTCTCTTCAACAGTAGGTTTCCGTATTTAACGCCTTCGACTCTGCCTCTTTCATATGAGGAAAAGAGAGATGTTTTCGCCTGTACGCACCTCTACCAAAATGCTTCTGACGACGACGTCTTTCCAGTTTAGATTTTGCTGTGCAGTTGCTTTGTTTAGGCAGCCACTGCTTTGTCTGGACTCCGCAACTACAGTGATATTCACTTTACCTGGAAAATGTGCCAAGATGTAAGCTAAAGAGACCACTGGCCTTTGTACTGTGGGAGAACGATTTAAAAAGCCCGTGAATCTTATTTTGAATCGGATGACACTAATTCTATGAAAATACTAATGCTTTAGATCAAATTATTTGTTTCTTTTCCTGTGTGAAGATAATTTAGGATGTTTTGCTTTACTCATCTCAAGATTCCTCATATTAAGGAGTCACTTATTTTTATTTACTTTTTTCTCATTACATTTATTTAATTAGAACTTACAAATTTTTAAGAAAGATAACATTTTACAAAGTCATTTAATATCATTTATAGAGAAAACATATGATTTTCTAAGCATATAACATCAGGTAACTGGGACCCCTAACATTTCCCAAGATCAATCAAGCGCAAGTAGTATAATATGATCCAGGAGAAAAGGACTGGATTGAAATCAAGGCCTAGTGAGCAATCTAGCGTGTGTTTTTTAAACTTCCTATGTTATCACATTATGTAAGAAATACTAATCTCCATTTTCCTTGTTTATAAAAATTAGAGGATTGGAAAAATTACCTGTAAAGTAATATTACCTATGTGCTTATATGCATAGCCAGAGAGACTGTTGGTTTTGTCAGTGTGTTTTGGTCATTGTCTCTTTGTTTTGGAAAGTCTTTAATACTCTACTCTTGGGACTGCATCCTCCCAAAGCAAAAACAAAACAAATGAACAAACAAACAAAAGGCAAGTTTTACAGTATTCTGTCTTCAATGTCTAGGATAACATTTCTGAAACTGTTACATAAGATAAAAGTTGAGAAAGTAAAACCTAATTGGAAAAACAATGGGAGGCAGATCAATATCACAGATGAATCAAAATGATCATACATATATATTATTTGTTACCAAAATGTTACAGGGTATATGAGACATGAAATAAATTTTAATGATCCAATTTTCAAAATTACTCCCAATGAGTATCATGTGTATCATAGTTAGCGTTCCTTGTTTAGCTTTTTCTTTCCACTGTAACTTTAGCAAGATAATTCTAAAATTCTATTCATTCTATTCTCTGTTCTAGTTTTACTTTTTCAGACAGGTCTTCTGTACCCCAGGCTGACCTCAAATGATACACAGCTACTTTAGTCTCCCCGGTACCTGGGACTACAGGTGTGTCCCACCATGCATGATCTAAATTTACTTTTCTCTGTCATAGATAATGCACACACAGAGGCAATATTCTTCTAAGAGTTTGATCCAAGTGTACCGTTTTTCATGTTCCGTGATATAGTTAGGAATTCCCATGTTCCAGCAATTCTCGTAATTGATCATTGTGATTGTGAAGCAACTTTTTGTACAAGTGGAATTTTCTATAAATAGTGGGTGAAGAAATAAGTGAGCAGTGAAAGAATTCAGGCAGCATTAAGAAAAATACGGCCTTCATTTGGAATATTATGTCTGGACTTCATAGGTCTTGCAAATTGGCGCTTTTATTGTGTTCTAGTCACATTATGCTTTTTTGCAAATTAATGATAATTTTTATTCTACACAATATTAGCAACTGGAAATTAGATTGTAAGAAGCAAGTTTGTTTGTTTGTTCATTTTTTTTTGGGGGGGGTACCGGGGATTGAACTCAGGACCTTTTGCTTTTGAGGCAGGCACGGTGCCACTGAGCTAAATCCCTGGCCTAAGAGCAAGTTTTTAAAACACAAAACAATTTAAAAAGAACTAAAAATGTGAGGAGTAAAATTAGGTTTATTTAGCAAATTTAAGGAAAATAGAGATTTTTTAAAAAACCTGACTTTCCATGAGAAATTAGCATAGACACATAGCCCCTTACCCAGGGTTTTAGGTTTAAGAGTCCAGACATATGTTTTCTTCTCTCCAGCCTGGATAATCTCGCTGTCATTGCTTTTCAGGGTGTTAATTTTGGCTTCATAATTCTGAGATGTTTCTAATTGAACAGATATCTAGAAAAAGAGTCACGGTAATGAGGGCAGCCCTGTAAGTACTTTTATATTACTATTCCATCTCTCATCTTCAGGAAATTATGCCTTGTCTATTATATTTTAAGTTTGCAAAGTTAACTAGAAATTCCATTTCCCTAGGTATCCTTCTAAAAGAGTTAAATACATCACATTGTAGTGATCCATGCATAGTTATGTTTATAGCAGCACAATTCATAATAACTAAATCTCGGAAGTGGCCCATATGTTCATCAAAAGATGAGTGGATAAAAAAAATGTGGTGTTTTCACACAATGGAGCACTACTCTGCCATACAGAAGGATAAACTGGAATCATTTGTAGGAAAATAAACCCACCTTGAGACCATAATGTTAAGAGAAATAAATCAGGCACACACGCTTAAATAATACATGGTTTCTCTTATGTGAGAAACGCAAAACATAAATAAAGAGAAAAGTAAAATACAGATGATAGGAAGAAGGAGATAGATTTTATTCAATAAGAAAGAGGATCAAGGGGCTGGGGATTTAGCTCAGGGTCACCACACCTGCCTTGCAAGCACAAGGTCCCGAGTTTGAGTCCTGCGACAAAACAAAACAACTGTCCCACCCAAAACAGAGACAAAAACAAAAACCAGGATCAAGAAAAGGAGGTGATCTGGAGAGGAGGTAAAAGGGATAAAAAAGAATCAAGATGTGCTATGTACATACATCGACTCTGCAGAAGAATGTCAGCATTATGTCCTGCAGACATGTACTAGTAAAAAAAAAAAAACAAAACTGAGGAAAAAGGTATCTGATTGCTCCTTGCACAAGAAGCTAATATGGCAGAGTGGGCCTCTTTATGAGATGTCAGTCTCAAAGTGATGCTCAAATCAGCGCTGTGAATTAATGCAGCTGCTTTTGTTTGAGGAATGTGGAAATGAAGCCATCTCCTCATAGTATCGCTTTACGAACCAAGCAAATATTCAAGGAAAATCTTAGGAACCTTTTTAGCTTTGTCAGACTCCGGTCTCCTGGTGGAAGGGAGCGACTTACCTCCGCGCATGAGTCCAGGTAGCTGAAGACACTGACAATCAAGTCACATTGTTCATTGCGGACAACGGAGAAGGGTGAAGCGATGTCCACGAAGAAAGCCTGGGAGACTTGCAGGGCGGCGGGGACAGAGATGCCAAATCCAGCCTCGCCGTTCACGCAGAAGGCGCTGGCCTCCCACTGGGTCATGGTGTCCGGGACGACGAACGAGAGATTCGCGGAGCCCGAGGAGCTGCAAGGAGAGGCTGTGGATAAAACTCGTCCTGGGCCTCATGAAGAATCCGAACGTAATGCAGAGCCAGGAGAGCCTATTAGCTAAGTTTAAAAATGAGTGTGGTGCTTGGACAGCGCATCAGACAAAAATCGTGAGAGCTGAATGTCTATAAAATTTAGCTTTAGAAGAGTCACACTTCTTTTATTTTAAAATCTGAGGCAGTTTACATGGAGCTGCAGGAAAGTTATTGCCAAGAAACTTCTGGTTAACAAAATTAAGAACAGTTAGAGAAAGAAAAAAAAAAATCAAACAGGACCAGTAAGTACGAACAAATTTTATTTTATGTTTTAAAAATATGCCCAAGAATAGAATGTCATAAATAACAAAGAAAATAGAAGTAAAGACACAGAGGCTAGGAAGCTGCTGAAATAACTCACTCGATCCTGAAGAGGTCCCATATCCACGTCTCGGGGAAGTTTGTCCTCACTGTTTTTATCATGGCCTGTTGTACATGGTCGGCATTTTCTCTCACCTTAAAATCTAAAAGAGAAGAGAAATGCTCTATTCGGGGAGAATAGGAATAGGCGTCTTAATGCCGTGAGCCTGTGAGTTAAGCTCTTCATAGCGCCTGTCTAGACTCCACCACCGTGCGAGCAAAGTGTCGAATGCAAATCTCAATCTTGGTTTCAGCATTTTGTAGCTCAAGTCTCTGCTGTTGTAAAAAGCACCAGGGAACAAACCGACGATGAAGAATCAGCCTACAGTTTCCCTCCACAGTCAGCCTACTCACTGCAGTTTCTCATCCAATACGCGGATGCCGGCAGGTTCTGCTACCTAGCGGCGCTGCTGCTAATGTTGTAAATGACTGCGGCATTGGTCACACTTCACCACTCTTTCTTTTTCAACACAGTCACTGTTCTCAGGTTGTGTAACAACACATCATTCCAGTTTCCTTCCCTTTCTGGAGGTGGCAACTCTTTACGATTGACCTGACACCTCCTCTTCTGCACACCTTCTCCCCATTGAGGGCCCCCACCAGCCTCACTTACAACAGTCACCCAATGCCCCCTCCATCCCAGACTTGTGTGCCTTGGCATGTGTTTCCCCTGGGTACTTCATAGGGACTGCAAATGCAGCCGCTCCCTAAGTGAGCCATTCTGTGCTCTCCCTGCTTCTTCTAGCACCGGGTACCAGAGCCTAACCCTGTACCCAAGTCACAGCCTCAAGCATCATCTGAACCCTTCCTGTCCTGTGTGTTGCTTAACTCGTGTCATGTGCTACAACCTGAAAACAGCCCACAGCTCTACCCACAATTCTGTTTCTACTGCCTTTTTAGAGTTGTCCAGGCATCACTATTGCTCAGAGGAATTCCTGACATCTGTGTCATTTCCTACCTTCTCAAGCAGCCTCGCCTGAACCCTTCTCACAGAGCAGCAGGGATACTGTTAAAAGACCCATCCTAGATCATCTGCTTACAGACTGTCAGTAGGAAATAATAATAATAATATCAATAATAACAATAATAGGATGGATTCCAACTCTTTTAACGCCACATAAGGCTCTTCTGACCTGTCTGTATGTGCCTCTTGCTTTGGCTCTCTGTACCTCTCCTTGAACTGCCTCTCCTCCACTCAGAAGAGCTTGTGGGGCAGGCGGCAGAACCACTGAGCTAAATCCCCAGCCCTCTCCTCCACTCGGAAAAGCTTGTGCTTTCTTCTCTTGTCTTTCATAGCTGCTCCTTCTCTGGGTGGATTGCCTTCCTCTCTGGTGATGTCTTTTGGTCTCATAACAAGTGTTACTTCCTCTAGAAGTACACAGTAGGCCCTTAAGGCATCAAGTCTCTTCTATTTCATATGGACATTTCAAACATTTTATACATGCCTCAGTCACTTTCCTCCTCACTGAGACAAAGTGCCGGGTGCCCTCAACTTAAACCAGAGGGCTTTGTCTTGCCTAACACTTGCAGTCCACGGCTGGCTGGCTCCAAGGCAGGAAGGCTGGGTGGAGGAAAAGCTGCTCACCTCATGGCAGCCGGGAAGCAGAGAGTGAAGGGAAGAAGGGAAGAGGGAGATAACCCTGCCAGGTCGCCCCCTCAGTGCCCTGTTGAGCCTCAATACATGTTTAGTTACAGCACTGCCATGCTTTCATTACCCGCCACCAAATCCCCACCTCTGAGCACATCAGGCCATGGGGTGGGCAGGTCCACAGATAAATCTAACAATGCACTCTTCCCCTGGTTTGGGAATTATCTCATTACTGCATTTACATCATGCAACTCAGTTCCTGGTCTCAGTAGATATTTGCTGGGTGAATGAATAAATGAATGACTGAAGCAAGAAGAGAATAAAATGAAGGACTTTGGGTTTCATTCCATTTTATCCAGAGGTGTAAGAAAGTTTAGATGTTCCTGATCAAACTCACTGAACAGGGTTTAATCCGGTAGTGACAGTAAGTAGTCTTAATCTCTTGGCCAGGTCTGGACTTCACAGGGCCTCACGAACGCTCGCTCCCTGAATCCTTCCTTTTTACAAGTTGTCAGGCTCTTACGTTTCTCAAGTGGAAGTCCTGACACTCATCTTTAGGATAAACCCACTTCAATCCCAGGACTCGACTCGGTGAGGGCCAGGGGGATCTCAGCGCTGTTACTCAAGTTCTCTCACAGGCCGTGGGAATACAGCTTTCATGGGGGGTCTGTTCTGATGATCTGGCTCCATCTGGCTTCCCTGACTGTATTTCTATGTACACACTCTGCACACCTACCTTCTTTTTCTAGCAGTATGGCTGGTCTTGGGCCTTCAGTCCTTCCGACTGAAAGTGGGTTGTACCGGGCCACCTTTCTCATGGCAGCTGTCTGAGTGCGTCAAAACGCCCTCTGCCTTTGACTCTGCTTTTCGGTGTCTACATAATAAGGATACAAGGCAGCCACACAGAAACTCACTGTCTTCTATCAGTCACAGTAACTACTCTCCCACATCCCCGCACACTTCATGTTGCCACACACATACTCTTGTTACTGCGTTTGACTGGTAAACTTGCTTTTATTGTTGAAGCTCGTTATTCTTTATAACCAAAGCCATCTCTAGCCAGTCTTATTCTGCTTTATTGAATGGGAGGATGTTCAGATGAAACCCAAAACACGTCAGGATGCCAGTTTTGTGTGATTCCATCCAAATGCCCCCAGTTCTAAGAACCCTTGTACCGGTTCTCTGAGCAGGAAACTCTGTATCACTCACATGCTGCTGGAGATGAGGCGTAGGGCACCAATCTTTCTCTTCCTAGGAACAGTGGCCTCATGAGTGGACCACTTCCAGCCATCGTACACAGTTCTGGTTTTCGGTAATGGAGATTGGTAAAGACTTTCAGACCCATGCGCTTTCAAAGAAACAAAGAAAAAGTTGTGTGCTCCTTTTGTGCAAGAACTGTAAAAGTCTTTGATGCTATAATAATAAACAGACCATGCATCTACATATTCACTGTGCTCCCAAGGCTTTCATGTCACAACCAAGTCACCTCTATTTGATTTATGGAAAATCTCTAATTTAAAATAAAAATGATAATCAGTATTATCATGCACTAGTATTTTACCAAGTATTTTGCATAATTCTCCATTCAATTTTAAGGGAAAATATGTATGAAATTGGCTCTGTTTTTCAACCTCTTGATTTGACTCTGTGTACGATTCACTGCAATAACTTGCAGACTGCCTTAATAATTCTAACCTGAGGTTTTATAATTTTAGCCACACTACTTATCTTCAATAGAAACATTAATATTTCCTCTTCATAGAACAGTTTTGAGAGCTCTATTAGCAAATTACAGAAACCAAATCTCAAAGTATCAGAAGAAAACTACACAATTGATAAAACAGATATGCATTATGAATACTAAAATTAAAATTGACATAAGGTATTTTAAAATATCTTTAGTGATCTTACCCTGAGGATCTCAAAGGTGTCCTCATCTTCAGAAATGGGTACAGGAGAATAATACAAACCATTGTAAAACATGTCCTTCTGGGGAATGCAAGGTTCTACCCTACCATCATCCAGGTTGAGACCATTGTAGAAATAACCAAATGGTTCTCTATGTGGAAGCAAGTTGTACACCTTGGAGAAAAAGCACATGGCCTTCAGGCATTTTAAGCATTTCAAAGAAAAATTACAGAATTAGAAAATTTTGTGTCATAGCGGTTTATTTTTATTTCATTCTATAAGAGAATGGAAATCATACTGTAATTAAATAATTTTATTCAATGACTTGAAAAGAGAAAACTAATTGTATTTTAGGCAGCTGTTATGGCTTGTGTCTACATGTCCCATGAAAGCCTCATGTGGTCATCAGTGGCACTGTTCAGAGGTGGCCGGATCCAGAGTGTGTGATGCTGGGGTGGGGGAATTCATGGTGCTATGCTAGGATTAAGGCTGTGCCACCCTGGGTGTGAGTGCCACCTGCTAAGGGTGGAGAGCCTGGATAGGACCCAAGGACAGAAAGAGGGTGGCTGTGGTAGCTGCTCTAAGTCACTCTTATTCTATTACCAACATTTGCCACTTAAAAACTTTTTACCAAAATAACATACAAGGGGCACTCTTCACCTATGAGTACTATTCACAAGAGAAAAATAATGCTACCCAAAGCTGTCACAAAAGAACACAGAAAATGCAAATCAAAACACTTCTGCTGATGAAGTTTCTCTGCCAAAGTAATGAACTAAGTAAATAAATAGGAATAAAAGCCATTCTCAAACATCTCAGCAGAAATGAAATATTTTCAAACATGCATTTGGGATATTTTCAAAGCACCCTGGGCGCTGGGGATCTGTTTGCCTAGATGAAACAAGAATTAAAAATTTAATAAAGGAAGAATAAAAATAGACCAAAAAAAAAAGAAACAAAATGAGAATTTACCGAACTCAGATACAGATGAAATAGACATGAATTATAAAGTCTTTATGAAGAGCTCAAGAGAAAATGATTGAAAAAAAATTTAATTTTCTCGAACTCACTACACAGCCCAGGTTGGTGTCAAACTCCTGCCTCCACATCCTGAGTGCCAGGCTCACAGATGTGCATTGCCTCAACCCAGCTGTTAGGACCCTGCACAGAAAAGCTGGGTGTGGTGGTGCATGCTTATAACCCTAGCGGTGAAGGCTGAGAAAGGAGGGTCTCAAGTTCTAGGCTACCCTGGGCTACACAGTGAATTCAAGGAGGGCCTGGATTACATTTAAAAAAAAAAAAAAGGATAGAAGAGAAACAGAAAATTAAAGAATTCTAAAAAAAAATATATTTCACATTAATAGGTAAATTTGTCCTTTATTACTTTATACTTCTTCAGATTCTGAAACTATTTAGAAGCTTCTCAGATTTCTTTATAATCTTAATAAATAATTTTTAGATTATTTAAGAAGCTTCTAAATAATTTCAGAAATTGAAATGTATTATTGTTTGACATTGGCAAAATATAATTATGTCATGATTTATGGCTATTAAATATTGTTAATTAATTTAAGCAAAGCTTAATACTTAGTGCTTAAGGTAAAATATTGAGGGGCCAAACACAAAACTAGACTCTAAAAATCAGATCTCAAATTTGTAAAAGGTTGCCTTCAGAAAAGAGGTTTTCTCTGGATTCACTTCAAACCTGCTCTAATTCTTTCACTTATCTAATCCTCTTGTTCTAAGTCTAACCCCCCATCCTAAATGGTAAAGATGCCATATTGAAAAGAATATTCACTGCAAACATACTATGAGCTGCTTCTTGAAATTAATCTAATTCACATGAGTTAAAGGTGATACATTAATGACTACCACAAGTGGTCAGTTGGCAAGCTGTGCCTGATCCTATTGGGCTGCTGAATGTATCAATTGGGACAAAGAGTGGTGATTGATTTAAAGAGTTGTTTTCTCTGATATTATGAAAACGAGAATGTCTATGAGTCATTAGAAACTCAAAAGCTAAAACGCAACTATATTAGGAAGATTTAAGTAATACCCAGAAATTAAAGAAGGACAACCCAACAATAAAAATAAAAATGAGAAAACACTTAAGCAAGACACAAAAACAGATATCCAGTTCACCAATAGCAAATAGTAGGACAAATGAGGATGAAAAGTCTGATAGTGAACCAACAGGACTCCCTGGACCCATAGCACAGGAGGTAACAAAATTGATCAATCAGGCTCTAGAAAAATTCAAATCAGAAATAATTTCCCAGCTAACCAGAGAGATGATGAGCAAAATAGAAGTCATGATTCGAGACTCTAGAGCAGAAACTGACAAAAAAATAGATGAGCTCAAGACTATGATAGAAGCCATGAAGACTCAGCATAAGAAAGAAATGGAAACAATGAATGCCCAACAGAGGAAAGAAATGGAATCCATAAAACAGATTCAAACAGATATCCAGGAGATTAAAAACTCTATTGAAAGTGTACGAAACAGAATAAAAGATTGCGAAGATAGAATTTCAGATATAGAAGATAGGATAGCAGTCAGTGACCGTGAAAAAAGAGGTCTATTAAAAACAGTAAGGGATCATGAGAAATCAATCCAACAACTCCTAGACGATACAAAGAAAAATAACATAAGACTGATAGGAATTCATGAAAAAACAGGAGAAAACACAAATGATATAAAAAAGCTCTTCACAGAATTAATGACAGAAAACTTCCCAAACAGAAGGGAAGAATTAGACATACAGATAAGTGAGGCATATAGAACCCCAACTAGCCACGATCAAAAAAAATCTACACCTAGACATATAATAATCAAGATTCCAGAAATCCAACAGAAAAACAAAATACTACAAGCAGTAAGAGAAAAGAAACAAATCACATGCAAAGGGAAGCCCATTAGAATCACAGCAGACTTTTCAACACAAACCCTTAGGTCAAGGAGAGCCTGGAGTGAGGTATTCCAAGTCCTAAAAGAAAAGAATCTCCAACCTAGACTTTTGTATCCTGCAAAACTCTCTTTCAAAATAGATGGGGAAATAAAATACTTCCACGACAAAGAGCACCTGAGAAATTTCATGAACACCAAACCAGCACTGCAAGGAATTCTAAACAATATCCTAGAAAAGGACAACGAAATTCACAATAACATGAGGCCCAACAGACCAAATCAAATAGGCAAGGCAAGAAACTAAAAGGAGATGGGAGAAAAAGTAAAAAGAGTCAACAAATGGACAAAAACATGACAAGAATAAGTCAAAATATATCAGTTGTAACCATCAATGTTAATGGCCTCAATTCACCAATCAAGAGAAACAGATTGGCAGAATGGATTAAGAAGCAAAATCCAACAATATGTTGTATACAAGAAACACACCTAGTGCAAAAGGAAGTCCATAGACTGAAAGTGAAAGGATGGAAAACAATTCTCCATGCGTCAGGAGTCCAGAAAAAAGCAGGGGTAGCAATCTTATTCTCAGATAAAGTAAATTTCAAACCAAAACTCATTAAGAGAGACAAAGAAGGACACTACATCCTTGTAAAGGGAACAATTCAAGAGGAAGAGCTGACAATCATAAACATATATGCACCAAATATAAATGCCCCCAACTATATAAAACAAATATTAAGTAACATGAAAAACCAAATAAGCACTAATACAATTGTAGTGGGGGATTTAAATACCCCACTATCACAAATTGACAGATCTACTAGGCAGAAAATCAACAATGAAATAATAGAACTGAACCAAGCTTTGGAACACATGGACTTAATAGATGTTTATAGAGTATTCCACCCCCAAAAACCAGAATATACATTCTTTTCGGCTGCACATGGATCATTCTCCAAAATAGACCACATACTGGCTCACAAAACAGGTCTAAATAAATGCAAAAAAATTGAAGTCATCCCCTGTTTATTATCAGATCATAGTGCAATCAAACTAGACATCAATAGCACAAGAAACTATAGAAACTTCACAAGCACATGGAAACTGAACAACACTCTCCTAAACAATCAATGGATTACAGAGGAAATTAAAGAAGAAATTAGACAGTTTTTACAAATAAATGAGAATGCCAATACAACATACAGGAATCTTTGGGACACAATGAAAGCAGTTCTACGTGGAAAATTCATAACATTGAATGCCCACACTAGGAAAACAGAGCGGGCTCAAATAAACAACTTAACGATGAAACTTAGACTCCTAGAAAAACAAGAGCAAGAAAAACCCAAAGCTCGAACAAGAGAGGAAATTATAAAGATCCGAGCAGAAATCAATGCAATTGAAATTAAGAAAACGATACAAAAAATAAATGAAACAAAGAGCTGGTTTTTTGAAAGAATAAATAAAATTGACAAACCCTTAGCTAATCTTATCAAAAAAAGGAAAGAAAAGGCTCAGATCCATGCAATTAGGAATGAAAAAGGCGAAGTCACAACAGATCCGAAAGAAATCCAGAGGATCATGAACACCTACTTTGAGAACCTGTACTCTAATAAAATGGAAAACACAGAAGAAATGGACAGATTTCTAGATACTTATGAATTACCAAAGTTGAACGAAGAAGATAAAAACATTTTAAACACCCCAATCACAATCAGTGAAATTGAAAATGTAATTAAAAACTTACCAACAAAGAAAAGCCCAGGCCCTGATGGATTCACTGCTGAATTTTACAAGACATTTAGAGAAGAACTACTACCATTACTCTTCAAACTTTTCAATGAAATTGAAAGAGAAGCTATACTTCCAAATTCATTCCTGGAAGCAAGTATCACTCTGATTCCCAAACCAGAGAAAGATACAACCAAAAAGGAGAACTACAGACCAATCTCCTTAATGAATATAGATGCAAAAATCCTTAATAAGATACTAGCAAACAGAATACAGAGGATTATTAAGAAGATCATCCATCATGACCAAGTCGGATTTATTCCAGAGATGCAAGGGTGGTTCAACATACGAAAGTCAGTGAATGTAATACATTATATTAACAAAGTCAAGGACAAAAACCATATGATCCTCTCAATAGATGCAGAAAAAGCATTTGATAAAATTCAACACCCATTCATGATAAAAACCCTGCAAAAAATTGGAATAGATGGTCTATACCTCAATTTAATAAAGGCTATTTATGAAAAACCATCAGCCAACATCATATTGAATGGCCAAAAACTGAAAACCTTCATGTTAAAATCAGGAACAAGACAAGGATGCCCACTATCGCCACTTCTCTTCAATATAGTTCTGGAAACATTAGCCACAGCAATTAGACAAGAGAAAGAAATTAAAGCAATAAAGATAGGAAAGGAAGAAGTTAAACTATCATTATTTGCTGATGATATGATACTCTACATTGAAGATCCAAAAAACTCCACCAAAAAACTTCTAGACTTAATTGACAGATTCAGTAAAGTATCTGGATACAAGGTGAATACCCAAAAATCAATAGCCTTTCTATACACAAATAACAGACAGACAGAAAGAGAAATAAGGGAAAAAATTCCTTTTACAATAGCATCCAAAAAAATGAAGTATCTAGGAATCAATCTAACAAAAGAAACAAAAGATCTCTACACTGAAAACTACAGCACTCTGAAAAAAGAAATCGAAGAGGATATAAAAAAATGGAAAGATATCCCCTGCTCCTGGGTAGGAAGAATCAACATAGTGAAAATGGCCATACTACCGAAACTGCTATATACATTCAATGCAATGCCAATTGAAATTCCAACACTATATTTCACAGAACTAGAAAAAAGAATCCAAAAATTCATTTGGAACCACAAGAGACCTAGAATAGCAAAAGCCATTATAGGCAACAGTCACATGGCACCAGGTGTAACAATTCCCAATTTGAAACTATACTACAAAGCCACTGTGATAAAATCAGCATGGTACTGGCAAAGAAATAGGCCTGAGGATCAATGGAACAGACTGGAAGACACAAAAACAAATGCAGATGTACTCAGCTACCTCATCTTCGACAAAGGAGCTCACCATCCTCAGTGGAGGAAAGATAGCCTCTTTAATAAATGGTGTTGGAAAAACTGGATATCAACCTGTCACAGATTAAAATTAGACCCTTATCTTTCGCCATGCACTAAATTAAAATCCAAATGGATTAAAGATCTAAATATTAAAACAGAAACATTAAACTTGCTGGAAAGTAAGTTAGGCAGAACTCTGGAAGACATTGGTATAGGAAAAGACTTTATGAACAAATCCTCAGTAGCACGGGAACTAGCAGAAAGAATCAACAACTGGGATCTCATCTTACTAAAAAGCTTCTGTACTTCAAAAGAAACCATTAGCAGAACTAAGAGACAATCTACAATGTGGGAAAAAATTTTTACCAGCTGTACCTCAGACAAAGGACTATTATCAAGGATATATAAAGAACTCAAAACAATCAGTCCCCCCAAATATAAAGACCCGATCCAAAAATGGGCATCCGAAATGAACAGACATTTCTCATACAAAGAAGTGAAAGCAGCAAGAAAATATATGAAAAAATGTTCCACATCACTGGTCATTCGAGAGATGCAGATGAAAACAACACTGAGATTCCACCTCACCCCACAAAGAATGGCTGCTATCAAGAAATCACACAATAACAAATGTTGGCGGGGTTGTGGGGAGAAAGGAACCCTCCTCCATTGTTGGTGGGAGTGCAGACTAGTGCAACCACTATGGAAATCAATATGGAGATACCTCAAAGAGCTTGGACTGGAGGTTCCATTTGACCCAGCCATCCCTCTGTTGGGTATCTTTCCAAGAGAACTAAAAGAATCATATCACAGAGAAGTATGTGCACCCATGTTTATAGCGGCACAGTTTGTAATAGCTAAATCTTGGAAACAACCTATTTGCCCATCCGTTGGAAACTGGATAAAGAAGTTGTGGTTTTTCTATAAAATGGAATATTACTCAGCCATAAAGAGCGAGAGAATAGATTCATTCATAGGAAAATGGATACATATTGAAGATATACTCCTAAGTGAAATAAATAAGTCCCACATGTGTAAATACCAAATAGTTTCCCTGGTGTGAATATTCTGCAACAATGCATAAGATTCTAATAAGATTACTGACATTTAGAAATGGGAGGAAAGGAGCTAAAGGTGTAGGGAAGGTGTGATACGTAGGGGAAGAACAAAAAGGGAAAAGAAAAAAATGTGAGAGAATGAAAAGATGAAAATAAAGTGTTTGTAGATGGGGAGGGGAGGAGGGGGTGAAGGGAGGGCAGAGGTAAGGGTAAAAAAATGAGAATCAAGACTTGCCATGTAAAGGTACATGATCCCAACAATGAATGTAACTGTACTGTATCCCTAAATGTACCAATAAACTCAATTAAAAAAAAAAAAAAGAAAAGAAAAGAGGTTTTGCCAGGGATTTAGCTCACTGGTTCTGCCACCTGCTTCTCAAGCACAAGGTCCTGAGTTTGATCCCTGGTATCAAAAAGAAAAAAAAAAAGCTTTAAAAAATTGCAATAAAATGCAAAAAGTGTTAGATTGTGAGCGATTTAAAGTATTTATTTACACCTTTGTGTATTTTGCATGTTCTACAATAAAATTTAAATTACTGAATTAAATATACAAATATCAGAAAGATCGTTTTTAGTATGTATTTGTATAAAACAAAGAGAAAATGTCCAACAGTTATGTATATGTGCTGCTGAAGTGAGCACTGTCCAACAATAACGAACTAAAAATATTTTTGATGTGAACTTCTGGTGCTGCCAGTGTGGATATTTACCGATTTCTTTATGCATTGGTGCTAGAGATCCAGCCCAGGGCTGTGCACACTGGGTTAGAGCTGTATCATGGTTGTAGGTCCTGGCCCTCGAAATGTTTAAGAAAATTCTCTTTCAAACATCAGATGATAGCTTTACAGCGTCTCCAAGCATCTCTCCAACATGGAGATTTCGTTTTAGCTGTGGTCCTCTGTATCTACGATTATGCCTTACAATTTGTAAAAAAAGGAAAAAAAATCATACTGCAAAATGCTTAACCTGTTACCCTTAACTCCAGAGATTCCGTGTTATTGGTGCGGTCAGCCAAGAAAGATAACTAACTACACAACCCACGAAAGAATAAAGGAAGGAAATAGTTGGTATTTTCAACACATTTTATCTCAAGTAAAAGCAGCGTAAGAAGGGTAAGATGTGGAGGTCGGGAGAAAGGAGGAATCTGCAGGCTTACAGTTTCTGCCGACAGATGCTGCTCGCGGTTCAGCAGAAGGACCCTTTTATCCACAGCCCGGAGGGCGCAGAGTGAGTCAGGGGCGGCTTGAAGACACAGGGTGGTATTGGAGCCAGGCAGTGTCTGCTCCCTGGAGAACTGAACGCTCACCTGGAGCCGAGGAGGGAAAGGAGAGGGGTGGAAACGATTTTGCGCTAAGATAATCAGAAGCAAGCCAGTCTTCTCCAGGTAAACCCTGATGGGTTTCTGAATGACATTTCTTCTGCCCTCTCAACTTTAGTAGGTAAATGGGTCCTTTGTTTGTTGGTGTTTCTTCAAATTCTGAAATGATTTCGAAGCTACTTAGATTTACTTATAATCTTAATGAATAATGTGTAGATTATTCAAGGAGCTTCTAAATATTTTCAGAAGTTGAAATACATTTTAGCTTTGCAGGGGCGAAGTATATAATTATGTCGTGATTTATGCTCATTCAGTGTTATTATTCCATAGCTCAGCTCTTCTTGCGGGAGCCTCTCTCCAGCACCCTGCTGTTGTCTCAGGGTCAGCACGGATGCCAAAGACAGTTCAGCCGGCCGATGACTTTCACCCCCAGTAACTTAATCACAGCAGCATTTCTTCAGAGATTCCCCCATCACGATTACCGTGGTAACCTAAGGAGGAGACAGGGGGCAGGAACCTGCTCACCCTTCTCCACAGGGACAGGGCAGAAGTAGAAGAAACATCACCTTGTTCTTAAAGCACTGGTCGATCTGGAACTTGATGCCGTCGGCAACTATTTCCCCACTCGGGTGAATGGTGTAGACCAGCAGGGTAGCCACGGGAGCCAGGTCAGCGCTGATGTCGATTGGCAGTGAGAAGTTTCCATTCCAGGCTGCGTAAATAGATCAACAGGCACGGTGCCAACAGTGCCTTGGGTCACTGGGTATGCTTAGATAAGTGCACAGCTTGGGACAGAAAGAAAAAACACCTTTGTTTCTGGTTTCCTGCTGTCCGTGGAGGATGATAGCTCCTTTCCCCATCATCTACAGAAGACAAGGAAAACTCTGTATGAGATACCTGATCTAGTCCACAGGGCCCCATTGGCATTAGGTAATGAATTCTCTGATGTTAATTCTGTCCCATCAGATACACACATCAGTGTGGGATGCAACCCTAGTCATTGTCGCTTTCTCTTCTGTTTTACAAGGTCTGCAAAGTTCACTTTTGCACTTCATTTGAGGAAGTTATCTTATCTGATGGGACAGAATTAACATCAGTAGCATTTGTCCAGATTGTTTGGCTTCCACTCTGCCTCTTTCTATTTACCAACTCTGCTAGTTAAGACCTGTTGCTCCACCTTTTGTAAAAATCCAAAAAAGCTATCTGTAAAATCTGTATAATGGGCCATCTACGAAATGAGACAGCTACAAATCTGATTAAATCAGAGAACACACACAAGGCTCTTTAACAATGCCTGACACACTGCTCACACTAGGAGGTAATCTCGTTATTTCCAATTGCAAACATATGGCTGAGAAAGTCAAGATTTAAGAGAGTTTAAGCAAGAGGGACTACTTTGCATGATGAACCAGAGAGTGTGGATGATTCGACCCAGATCTTAATTTCCAAGTCTGTGATCCTCACTCTTCCCTGGGCTTTGATGAGACAAAGTGGACAGAACCAAGACAGCTAATTCCTTCTTCTGCCCTCCACTTTATTTTCCAGCCTCTGACTATATTTTTCCATCATAAAAGATCTTAAAAACTTGAGCTACAACTGCTTAAAAGGGCAGACTATCAAGATTTTTTCAGTCTTACGAGAAGTTCCGTTGCTTGAGACCTTGTTTTGTGTTTGTCTATTTAATTGTTATGAATGGATCCAACAGTACTCACCAGCAAGGTGAGAAGCTTGAGGTCACCCCAGTTGACACGACCAAACTCCAGTGCAGGCTAAGCTGTGCTATGTCAGCAGACAGACAGGCTTCCAAGAGTGCTGGGACTTACCAAGTAGAAGAAGTTTACATGTGAGTCAGCCTTATAAGCTTCCTGGTTTAGGGAGTAATGCACAGTTATAATCTTCTCTTGGTCACATCTCAGCTGCTTTGGTTGGTGCACAATCTTCAGGAAGCTGTTGGTTCGGGAGTAAAAGCGTGAGACTAAGAAGGAGGCCTCGGAGTAATGAGGTGTCACCCAGCCAGGGAGATAGCAGCTCCGGGGCTGAAGGAATTCAGCCTGATGGGATGAAAAAAAGGGAAGGATCTTAGAGCCTGGAAGACCCTCCAGGACAGGAGCTAACACAGAACACGAGGCTTCTCATCTGTGCAGGGCAAGGAGGAATCCTTCCTGTGGCTGACATTTCAATGTTAATTGGAAGTGAAATAATAGTGGTATTCTCCAGTTAAACAGACAAAGCTGCTCATAATTGTCTGAATAGTCCATCAGACTAACAATGAAATAAGTGCTGTGATTGTTGCTTTTTGATCGAAGCCAGAGAACTGGATATAAACTCCCCTGTTTCCTTCGGGTACATCTGAATACAAAAAAAATGTTTAACCACAAAATTCTGCTGAAGCAGCAGAAAAGAGAATTATCTCTCCTATCTCTGCATGAAACTGTATAAGAAAAAAAGCCAACTTTTCTTCACTCATCTCAGAGGAAAATATGGTTATTATAGAATACACACCAATCGTCACAGACTATCAACTTCTCTTCACCTTGAGCAAATATTTTCATACTTAATAAACACATGCACAATATGTAAACTGCTAATGTTTAAAATCCCCCAGTCACAAGCTCTGGAGGATCTTTGAGGTTTGGTCTCCTACTTTCAGGAAGATGACAGGATCGTGCAGGTCCGAGGTGTCGATGGCGAACTGGGCTTCACCTTTCTTGTCTGTGGTGTAGTTCCCTATAACTCTGCCGTTCAGCCCCAGTTGCAGCAACTTTCCCCTCAGTGGCACATTATTGGGGCCATAAAATGTCAGCTGTACACAAAAAAGGAATGTTAATTCTCTTGAAATACAATCATTTCATGTTCCTTCAAAGAAAGTTTTTGTATCCATAATTGTGATCATGTAATAGTAATTTTCTTCAATGCCAATGAACAAAAAGGTGTTCTGTTAAATACATATTGGATACATATTTCATATATATATGAAAACAGATAGAGATATGAACATGTATATATGTATATGAAAACACATATAATTTTCTACATTTCTTTAATCTAAGACTTTTTAAAGTATATCCGCCACAGCAATGGCAAAAATGTACTATGAAAATAGAAAAAAAATGTCCAGAAATCATCAAAGAGGAATCTATCCTCCATGAAAATGAAACAGGGCAATTATTTTTGGTCAAACCTACAGTTCCAAAATAGGGAATTCCTCTTCTATAGACATTGTCCATGTTTTCAAAGTGCACACTGCCGAGCAGTTCAGTGATAGCAACAGAGGTCTTCTCACTGATCTGCACACCTGTAAAAAGTGATAAGCACAGTGTCAGAAAGGGAAGAGTTATTATTTCAGGGCTGAGAATGTAGCTCAGTGGTAAAATATTTGCCTTGCAATAGTAAGAAATTGGATTTGTATTCCTAGCACTACCAAGAAAAAAAAAATCAAAAGAACGATTAAGATACATCTGAGAACTTTCTAAATAGAGATTTGCAATTCAAATATATTTCACATTTATATATGTTTTTCTACATAGAGAATAAGGTGTGCGTGTACTTTGAGGTATGTCCCAGCACACTCTGTGTCTGTTTGGTTATAGGATACTTCAAATAAGTAATGATATTACTATGAAAATATTTGATTTGGAAGCAGGAGAAAAATTTATTCTCCCCTCTTACCAATCTATTCAGATTTGGCTTGGGAACGTTATAATGGAGATGGTCATAGATATCTCAAATGAAAGGCTTTTGTTTCTGAAAATTTTTTTAAGACTATAAGTTAACTATTGTAGTATTTGGACTTTTCCAGGCTTGAAAAGTATCTGATAGCAAAGTACAATAAATAGAAATGCCTTGTGAGTTCATGAAAAGAAAAATGAATAGGTGGAATAATGCATATCCAGGAAAGTCACTACGACAGTATAAATGTGGCAAACTAACCTAGTACAAGTCATCACAATACAATCAAGTATATTTACATAAAGCATAAATAATAGGATCCCAAATCCCTTGTAAGTAACAAGAAATAATAATTGAACTGGCCTAAATTAATTTTCAACCTCTCTGTTTTTCATTATTTTAATAATTACTTATTGAGAACTCATTGGGGGTAATTTTGTAAAGTTTTCCCTAATAAATATTGGATTAGCAAATGTTCCCAGTTGTCCTAAATTGGGAGTTACATTTCTTCAGTAAAGAAGCTGAGTGATCCCAAGATGAGGACCACACCGGGACTTTGATGCAGCCACACAAACTCGTAGCTGCTAAGCTAAAGAAACAGATGAGGTAGCTGTGCTCCAGAAAACCTTCATAAAGGTATAAGCAGGGATCCAGACTTGACCCTCAAAATTTAGATCGTAAACTGTGAGAATTGAACCAAAGATCATATTCTGGAAATTGCTTACCAACTTTTTCAAAGTTAAAAATATATAGCTAGTTTCTGATGCCCAAATACTGACTAGTTTCTCCAGTGTGAGAAACTGAGAGTGTAAATGAGGATCAAAGTGTAGGACAGATAATGTGAAATGGGAAGAAAAGGGGCAAGGGGAAGGGGAGGGGAGGACAGGGGAAGGGAAGGGAAAAGAGGGAAACGGATACATACGAGGAAAGGAAAGAATGGAAACAAAGTCTTTGTAGATAGGCAGGGGCAGAGCGGGTAAAGGGAGGGCAGGGAATGGGGAAAAAAATAAGAACCAAGATGGACTATGTAAAGGTACCACTTCCCAACGATGAATGTCAGCATATTGTACACCTAAAATGTGTCAATAAATGTAAAGAATTTTTTAAAAAGATACAGCTAATTTCTACTAGTTCAAAAGAAAATTTCTTCAACTGGTTGACATAACCACAGAAGCATAAACATGCAACATTTATGAGATCATTTTATTTTAAATATTGTTAAATATTTAAAATTTTAAATATTTAAAATGCCTTTTCAGAGGTATTTTTTTACCTGAAGCTGACACTTAGCAAAAATGCATTCTACCCTTTTGAGCAATAATTTACGTGTCTTTGCACATATTGCTAAGGGAGGAAGAGTCTCAGTGACTGCCATGCAGCCCCAGGTAGTCCATACAACGCGATCCTTACCCGTCCCAGATTCTGTAACAATTACATGGACGTGAAATGTCATGGAAAGTCCAGAACGGTTGATTTGGAAGACTTTTGCACTCACGACTTGAGACACACAGCCACTTTTCAACTGAAAAGAAAGAGAGGCTGTAATAGAAATGTGAGGAATCCAACAGTCTTTAAAAGATACCAGGAGTTAGCACAGGTCGGTAGCACCCGTGCACCCTCACTTAAAACTGCCGAAGTGACCAAAACAAGAATTAAAGCAGAAAGGGAAGAGGAGAAAGAAATGCATTTCAGAAGCATATAAAGCAAGATGGCTATGCTTTATGCTCCATTTATTTTACATATGTTCAGGAAGTTTCTTTGGCAACCATGTAGATGGGTAGCGATGATAGATGTTTAAAGAAAATGGAATTGGGGATTTAGCTCAGTGGTTCTGGCGCCTGCCTCACAAGCACAAGGACCCGAGTTCAATCCCCAGTACCTGCCAAAAATAAAGAAAATGGAATTGAGTGAGGTTTCAAAAGGAATGAAAACCACTTTGACCAGCACTAAAGGCATGCAGAAGTGCTCTTTAATGCGTAACATTGAAATAGGCTCTTTAAAAAGTAAATTGAAAGTGCAAGATCCTGAGTTTGATCCCTGGTACAAAAAAAAAAAAAAGTAAATTGATTATTTAAAATGAGGAAAGAATCTGTAATCTTTCACTGGTAATATGAACAATCAGAAAAATATGGAATCAGTAATGCATTTTCCAAATCTTGAATGTTAAAAGGATATATCAATTTATTAGATCTTAAAAACTACCATATATTCTAGGCACAATTATTATGTCCATCGCATGGATGGATAAACTGAGGCACAAATGCATTATCTCACTTGCCCAAAGGCACACAGCTCAAAGGTCCTGGAGCTAAGTGTTCTGGCCACAGAGCGCATTCTCCTCTGAACTGCTCCCTGTCACATCAATAGCACAGAAAACAACACTTAATTAATCATAATTAACATTAAAGACTTGAAATCTAGAGAGAAAATAGTTTTCAAAAATCCTTAAATCAAACAGAAAAATTCTGGTGAAACAATGAAAATCTAGATGTTAGGATAAAGAGAAAATTCTTGGGTCAAGTGATGTCAAGCTGTGGTTTTAAAAAGTATGTAGAATATTGAATGTGTTCATTACTACATAAAGCCACTGACACAGTTGGCACTCTGTACCCGTGGGAGGTGACCATGGTCTCAACTAATTGTGAGTAGAGGATATTTGGGGAATTATTGCATCTATTCCAAGGAGAAACAGACTTGTGACTATTCTTCAAACTCAGTAAGACAACTATTTCTGCCAAGTTTATATTACATTCGGTACTATAATCAATATAATGATAGCATGATATAATGGACAATAAATAAGATCTTTTTTCAAATTGTAAAGTCCCCCAAAAATCTATAGATGAATAGCAATGAATTATATTCTTTTAAACATCATATTTTGTCTTCTTTCTTTACCCTTCAACCTCACGAAATGAAAGTGGTATTATTAAGTCCTTTTATAAGTGTAATAAAAAATGAGTAAAAACAAAGTATGACTGAGACCTTTTATGAGCAAAGATTGCGGTTTGTACCTGTGCAGCGAACTGCTCACACATGTCATTGGCGCCTTCCTCACAGGTCCCAGAAGACAGTAATTCTCTGCACACTCGGATTAGGGCTTTACCTTGGACAGAGCCACCGAAGGTGTACCTAGTGGGAGGGCGCTTGTGAGTATGGGGGAGCGATGTGGTAGCAGGACGTAGTGTAGAGATATAAAATTAGTCGCAACATTTTATTTAGCAGAACACATATTCATATGAACAAAGGTTGGATGTTTCAAGATCTTCAACAATTTCCAGAGCAATATTTTAAACAACAATTCTCATTTAACCACCACTCAGCAAATCTGAAAGATATGGGGATTGACTTCAATTGAAGTTAACTAAACACGGGATCAATAAGTATCTCATTTTCTCATAAAGAAACACCACATGATGTTTAGTGCAAGTTTTGTTTTAAAAGTTCAATCAAAGAAAAATTTGGTCAATATGAGTGTTTTTTTTTTTTAACTTGAGGGTTCTTTCCACTTAGATTTAGGAAAATAGAAAACATATTATTAAAGTAATGTATTATAATACTTTTCCTAATTTTAATGGAGAGTGGAATATATATTAGATGTTTACCCCTATTATTTCATTTATTTCCAATAATCCGGGCTAGAAAATGGAGATGATGTCACTAAGTTTTCCACACTGTAATTGGTGGAGCTAAAATCCAAATTCAGACTTGCTTTGGCCTGCAGTCCTTGCTCCTTCCATTGCACTAAACTGTTTCCTTTTCTACTTAAATTATTTAATGCTTTTGAGATTTTGACTCAACCTAAAGCACTTAAATCATCTGTTAGTTTATCAATTATATGTGAAATAGAAAGTAGACTGAATAAAAACCTATATATGCACACTTTTTATTATTTCTTGTCTTTTATTTACTAAAAAGAAAAAAGAAAATTCTCACTGTAGTATTTCTACAGGTTAATACATGTCCCTGAAGCATGAAGTTTATATCCTCAGGGAGGACAAAATGGCCTTCTCCGTTGTGCTTTGAAAGCTTTCTGGTTTATTAAACTGTCTGCCTCTAGGAACATTTTTTTCCTTCTTAAAAGCCTAATCACTTCTGAGGTGGTTCCCTAAAATAATTTTACTTGTTTTTTGTTTGTTTGTTTGTTTGTTTTTGTTTTCTATCTGTTCCAAACTAAATCTCAGGGCGTACAAAATCAAAAATCCACAGCTAACACAGCATTATTCAAGTTAGGGGGCAACTCCACCCCGATGTCCACGTCTAGACACTGATTCCATTCCTCAGGCTCGCGGCCTGCCCAGCACTGGCCCCGCAGTAGGAACGGCTCTTCCGACCTGGCTGGTCTGCTACTTAATGTCCCATCTCTCTACAAGATAAGGTTAACGAAGTTCCAAGAAGTCACAGTGGCATGTGTTTTGTACAGGCCGTACCAGATTTTGGCTCTCCTGATCCATGTGTTGCACTATTTCAGTTCATCACTCAGCAGATAAATAAATTAAAGATATCATTAGCATCAAAACTTCTGACTTTGTGCGGTGCTTTTCTAATGCTGTAGTACAAGGCCTCGGTTTTCTTTGAGGTTATATTTACTATCCCATCATTTTAAACATAGATAACCAGTAATCTCATATATACTAAATTCTGGTATGTATTCAATTGCTCTGCATTGAAACATAGAGAAATTTCATGCTAATTTTTCTAATGCCCAAAGATTTAAAAATTACCAAAACATGGACTAAAATGTCAGGTCTCAGCATCTAAAAAGTTTTATTATTTTATTTGTACATGTTTGCAGTACATGTAGTTTATAATTGTCTTGGGGAGTGGTTACATGTATGTGTCATGTTTTGTATGTAGCCCTTTATTTAAAATATGTTTGATATGCTGCTAAAAATAATCAAAGGTTAGGAATTTTATGACATCAATCAAATAAAATAATAAACAAATATGGCATATATTAATATTCTTAAATGCTCATTTAAATATAAGATTAGCTCTCAAGCTAAATAGCCCAGGTGTAAATCCCAGTTCTGCCATCAAAAGTGTCTATTAACATTGATAAGTTACTCCAATTTTGTATCTTTTTTGGGGGGGTACCGGGGATTGAACTCAGGTCCTTGAACTTGCAAGGCAGGCCACCGAACCGCTGAGCTAAATCCCCAGCCCCTGCTATCTTCTTTATAAAATTGAAATGACATTAGCTTCTGTCTCATGAAATGGTGATGAGAATATATACAGTTGTTAATGTAGTAATTGGAACTCAATACATATCAGTTGTTTTTCGTCATTATTAGAAATTTGAGGAAAGGATCAAAAAAAGGGATAAAAAGCATTAGAAGTAATCGCAAAGAGAAAACAAAAATTTTTCATGACATCTGTTTTTTAATATTAAGAAAATTCAAATGAGTTCAAATTAAATGGTACATTTCCTTATGTCACTAGGATGGTTTTGATATGCCATTTTCTTTTTTAAATGAGAATACTCAGTGCTGATGAAGTTTCAGTGAGGTAGGTACTTTTATACTAGCTGTTGGAATTGTATGTTGGCATACTATAATTGTTGAGCAAAAGGGCAATTAAAAGACTAGAAAAATGTGAAATATTTTTCTTGTAACTCCTTTTCTGGAAAACTTTCCTAAGTAAACAAATTTTGTAATTTAAAAAGTCACTATTATACACTTTGCCCAAAATGTAAATACTACAAAGTTATTAGTTACTAGAAAAGCAAAATGGAAGACTGAATGTTGTATGGTAAAATGATAGTTAAGTACAACATGGTACAGCTATATAAAGATGTTAATGCAGTAAGGACCTGGAACTGATGAAAAGACCCCCATAATACGGAAATATGTTTCCCTAAGTATTGTGGTTAGGAAAGAATTATTGCAGTCATAAAAAATACTCACAAAAGATCAGAGGAAAATAAATCACAATGTTTATGGTAATAGAATTAATTATAGCTCATTGTGTAGTTTTCTTTATATTTTTGAAATATTCAATAATATTCAAATACTCAAAAATTCTCCAAATATTTTAATGTGATCATGTAAATAATTAAGGTTTTATGCTATTCTCTCTGAGCTTCATGTTTACTTGTGGGGGAAATTTGAATAAATACTTACTTAGCACATGCATCCACTTGAAATTCATCATCTGAAATAGTTATGGTTTGGGGGGTACTGACCTTGACTTCAAACTTGGGTAATACTGAAAACAAAAAGAAATGCACTTCAACTCCCACAATTACCGGTGAGCAAAACTTACTGCAGTCATGTAGCTACCTGTGCTTTTAAGCCCAGCGTTTCCCCACAGATGCTCTTGTGCTGGCTGTTTCAATCGCCCCAGTCCTGTGTGGTGCCGCCCCTCCAAGACAGCAGAAAAGGGCAAGAAAGGAGCTGTCGGACATCAAAGCAAGCTTCCCTATTTTTAACCTATGCCCAAGTTACTCTGAACTCATTTATGCAAGATAAGTAGCAAGTTGGTTACCATCTTTATTAACAGTAAATTGATGTGTCCACATTTGTCCTGACTTTCCTTCTACAGCAATTGTATAATCCCCAAACATCGGTTCTGAACTCAGCTGGAATGAAAGCTGGGTAATATTTTGGACAGATGTCACATTCTTCCATTGAAAAATCACATTGTTTTGAGGATCCTGGAAAACAAAGACAGTTAGAGGTTAGATGCTAGTAGGATCTACTCTTTCTTTGTTTTGGTATTTTCTGTAGCCATTGGAAACAAAGAAAGTGTTACCCTTATATTGAACTCATTGCCTCAAATCATTAGAACAATGTAAGTTGCTCAATATACTCAAATTCAATTATATCAAATTAAAGTATATCCTTCCTGAGACCGTAGATGATAAAAAAAAATAATTTATAACTTACATCTCAGATTTTGATCAGAGTCACATAAGTAAAGACTTAACAACTCAATGTGGATCACTTCTGAGTGGTGTTCCCAAGATTATAATGGACTCACAGCAACACTGATCAAAACTGGCACAGGTTTTTTTCTTGATCTCTATCTAAAATGGTCATGGATTATGCACTGCATGTAATATCTGCTAAATGGAAGCTTTCTGATAAGAAAGTTTAGAATATCACCTTTTCCCCTTTGTTTGCTTTGAACAGATGAGGCTCACATTACAGGAGCCTGATTTAATAATTTTATACCATCTAATTCTAATAGATCCTCATAAAAATCTCTATGAAGAAAACATACTATTATAAACCCATTATTTTGCATAATGAATACTCATTAGATTTAAAAAGAAACAAAACTCTTATTTCTTTTAAAATAATTTCTCAGGTTTTCATTCAGTTAGGGTTACTCATGTGGCCAAGTGCTGGTCAATTAAATGTAGTGGAAGTCACTGGGTAGAAATCAAACAAATCAGATTGCCTACCTGAAATTTAACTGATTATAAAGGTAAGCTCTTTGCTACCCATGTAAAGTTGAAAACATTTGAATCATAAGATATATAAAGTCTATATTTATATCATTAATTAACCTTCAAAATTAGCTAATAACAATGGCACATAGTGTAGTAGAGAATAAGATATGTATGTTGGAGTTGACTGGTACAACCTTTTTACTATTAGGCATACAACTTCAAGTATCTCTGAAAGCCACACTACAGTAGAGAACTATGATGGTAAAAAAAGACTCTGCTAACTACATTCTGAAAGCAGAATCCATTTTATAATGAGTGAAATCACCTTGGCGTGTATATTTACACTTTGAAATGTCTGTAATTATTTCATTTGTCCCCTCAGCCTGCACTAAATTCAACCTTCATTTCTATCTTCACCTGCTGCCCACATGTATATGCACACAAAGGCGTACCTTTCTCTCGGCTTACCCATCTTAATTTCTAAGTATGCAAAATGGTGAATTTGAACAGCTCATTCGTCATTTAAATATTTTAAAGAATGGGTGTGTAAAGCAGATCTCTTACCTGAAGTGTGATTAAAGGATACTGAAAAAGAAAAATAAAATTAATAGTTAAATTTATTAATAGTTAAGTTTATTAATAATAAAATTAATAGTTTAATAGTAGTACATGTTTTTGGGCAAATATCCATTATTTGTATAAATACACCCATTGGCATTAACCCTCACTTTCCCAGGGAAAAAAGTTTCTGTAGTTAAAGATGCCAAAGACACACTGAGGGTGAAAGTGTCCCCAATCTCGTCTGGGATGTGGACCAGGCTCCATGCAGCTCATGGTTTCTTTATTTGATGAAAAGACCTAAAGAAATGTAAATCAACTCAATATAAATGAAAATTTTATATTTAAACATGGGGTTAGCATAATACTCCACCTTGGAAACGTACATGGAAAGCCCCCTGAACACTCTTTGTGTAGCAATGGATTTGTTTAACATCCTTAAATTTTATTGGACCATTAGAAATGATCAAACTCACCAAATCCTTAACAGGTTTGAACTGAGTGTTCAATGTCACCATGCGATAGTTAACTAAAAGAGAGAAGCAAAAGATATTTTTCTTATTTTCTCCCAGATATTGATTTTAAATAGAGATAGCAATTAATTGCTCCACGGTCACGGTCACAGAATACAAAGTTCCCCCTTCCCTTGGATTTCTTTGACCCTTTGAGATTTCGGTTCCACTGGGAAAGATGGCCTATGTACCTTTGCAATCCCTCTGTTAGTGACTTTTGCTGTTACATAGGTTGACACTGGGCACCACCAGAAACGTTTTCCCTAACAACCCCTAGGAATAGCTTCATACTTGGTAACAGAACTAGTGATAGGACAAATGTAAAATATGTATAATAGAAGATAAACATAATTTTCCTAGAAAAATCTATTAATATAACAAAATTTAATTTTAGCAGCAGCAATTTTAGTGGAGCTAGAAAGATTTTAGCTCTTTTTGTATGCCTCCACATCTGACCTATAATTATCTCTATATCTATCCATTATAACATTTTAGAAAATCCAGAAGAAGGGGTACAATGCATCCAAAAATCACTCTAAGAATTTTATTTTAGTTTTTTATATTTTTCAATAAATCTTCAATAAATAGGTGTCATTGAGGAAGCCAAAGTTTATAGATAAATCCTTCTTATCTTTTATTTTACAAATGACATAATTACATTTCAAGTATTAAGATCAGAATTCATTTGTCAAAAGCCAATAACAGGGGCTGGGGATTTAGCTCGGTAGTTCTGGTGCCTACCTCGCAAGCGCAAAGACCGGAGTTCGATCCCCAGTACCACAAAAAAAAAAAAAAAAAAAAAAAAAA